ACCAGCAGGGGAAAATAAAACATGTTAAGCAAATGGAAGGGAATCATTCCATGCAAAAAAAAGTGGTTGACAAAGCTCAGCGGAATGCGTTTCTGATTATCTTGGAGGATTGTAGCAGTTGGGTTCCAAGAAGTGTCATAGTAGACCGCATTCAAAACCTTGATGCAGGAATCTTCTGAGGAAGCGCGCCATAGTATGCAGGGATCCTTACATTGTACACCTGAGCATTGCCTTGTAAATGGTGGTGTCCCTTCATTTTGGTGGAAAAAGCCATGTTTCAAATCAACAAACTGTATCTTGTAAGGAGCCCTGTATTTTGCCAGATTGAGGATCACAAGTGATTGTCTCGGGATGACAACGTGGACAAGTCATCCCGTGATGACAAGTCCCAATACTCATTTTGACTTGGAGCAACCAGTAGCAAATCAACTGGCCATGCGTCAAAAGCCCGTGCCCCCAGTGAACCAATCCCCACTACAATAGACTAAATTGAGTGGCCATTGGTTTTGACCCACAGCCGACTGACAGGGAAAAACCACCTATAAACCAAACCACTGGTGATTTGCCGCAAAGCTTGAAGTCTTTCCAACCATCGTTCTTTAGAACCGCCTGTTTTCGCAGGGTGTTGGGCGGTTTGTTAGAGAGAACGGAAATGGAAGGTTCCCCTAGAGCCATACTGTGGATGGACAAAATCCAAGCCCTGGAATTAGTTTGATTCCCCAGTTAAATACCAACAAGCAATGGTTTCAACCATGGTTTCCAAGTGGTGCGAAATGGAGTGCGCCCATCCACAGCATGAGTTATATGTGTGAACCACCCACTTTGGAGTCCCCGGATCGCCTTCATGACCTTGGCAAAGTCTGATCCGAAGTCCGGCTCCGGCTTCACCTTCGGCGCCTGGCGAGTGGATATTATTTTCTTTTTGTCCCCCGTGCCAAGTCTAGGAGAAAATTGGTGCGGGGATGTGTCAAAATAGGGGGACCCAAGAAATGAAAACTGTTCTTCTTTAGTTTCCCTTTAAACCATCAGGGCCCTCAAACAAAACACGAACCAATGTTGCTAGCAGCTTTGCGTCCAGGGTCCAAGGAGTAATGCTCTGTCCAAGCCGACTAGACTCAGAATGTCAATATTGCTGCTGCCATTCGCTCTCTGGCAATGCAGCCAATACCTGGTAGTACTCAGGAACTGCTTGATCCAGCCACTGGCAAATGCGCAGCTGAGGTCTGTCTCGCCACTTTGACATGAGACATGTTACAGCATTATTTTAAATTGGGACATGACAATACTTCATTTTTGTCTACTACCTAGCCCCTGAAAGCACAGCCGCTTGATTCTGAACCCTCGGCTGTACCGACCGATTGCTGCCTTGGCGTGCAGGCGCGTACGCACGCCTGGGCGATCTCTGGCCGCATGCCGTGCTGCGAGGCGGAACTCTCTCTCAAGGCAGGAAGCTCTGTTCAAAGAAATTGTAGCTTCTTAATAAAATGTCTAAGAACTCAACCGTGTTTTCCTTTCATCCCTTTCAACCGTGCATTGCTTCACACCTTCCGCCTGTGTCCTTTGTTCGCTGACTGGTGTGGGGCTCGCAAGATTGAGGCCGAGACGTCCTGGGGAGGAAAAAGAGAAAACTGCCTGGGCGAGACACGCGGAGTCGAATGACTTCTCGATACTCCTACCCCGTGCTGATCCTTCATTCGATTGAGATCCTTTCGCCCATGGCCAACTAAGGCACTCCAATGTGGGCACGCTTGCGATCGCGCGCGACTTTCAAATCAAATAGCCTTTGAAGCTGCAAAGATTGAGCTGCCTTCAAGGCTGGGACATGAACGAAGTCCAAGCATGAGCTTTCGCGAGCACCAAGCCAGATTTGTTTAAACACCCAGCCCCTGGTCCCGTTAGGGAAACCGAAATAAGATTGCTTAAATAGCAGCGGTTTGAACATGTCAAACAGAAGGGCCAACCCCAGTAATCACTGCACAATGAGAACTGTGCACAGTCGAAGCAACTCAAAAGCAGTCAGCTTGCGAGGTGTTTAACCAGACATTGGTTCCAAACAGGAAGCTACTCGGGAAACCTAGCACAAGCACAGAATCCCGGATGGTTTGTGGCCAAGTTTGTCATTCACAAATGACATGGTCATCTTGGCGGGTCACTGCGTGTCAGGCACTCTGAGAAGCAAACAATCCTGCTGCCAACCAGTGACACCACCTGCAGCGCAGCGCCAGCCACGCGTGTGGGCCTACTGCCTGATGAGTCCAGAGCTACCAAACCTCAACTAATTGGCAAGTTGTTTGCGTGTTCAGCTTAGTCAGGTTCTTCTGACGCAAAATTAAAATCCAAGGAGTCTGAAGGTATAAGCACCGGATAGCAACCTTACAATACAAATCAGCTCTAGCAAACTCAATTCTACCAAAAAGCCTGAACATGGAAAAGGTCTGTCGTCGCCATTGACCTTGCTAATTGATGCTAATTTCTAGGTCGCTAAGACTTCAACTCCCAAACTCTTCGTGCCAGAATCAATTTCGGATGAGAAATCACCTCAAGTCCCAACATGCATGTTTGCCAGTGTTTGTTTCTTTCCATAGAAAGGCTTGTCTGATATCTTCGCATCATCTGTTGTCTGTGCAGTGCCAAGTGGATGGCTCAATTCCCCTCTGCAACCGTTTAACTTCTAACTGTTTAGAACAAATCACACATCATTTCTCAAAAGTTCCAGTCTAAAGATCCAACCAAACAGCAGCCAAGTCAATCGCCGCTGTTTGGCATGCCTGCATCTTGGTGCGTCTTGGGCTCTACGCGGGTTTGCCTGCAAAAGCATCTTCGTTGGGACTGCCACAGCCACTAAAGCGGTTGGAGAACCGAGGTTGGCAAAGTACTTATGACAACAGGATGTGTTTGTCTTCGTGGATATTCACATTGACCAGCTGGGTGCCTATTGCAACAAACCATCTGGCCCGCATGTGACAGGTTGCATCGTCAGCTTTGGAAGCGTGGGCACACAAGTAGAGCAACACTTGCAAGCTTTCTTCCCCTAATTCTAGCATATAGGGTTCAAACCACTACCATCAAGCACCCCAGGGGCTGGTTGGCTATGCGAACTGTGCCCGACTTTGGTTAGGCCCTTGGCAGGGCAAGACAGCTTTCAGGCACTGACCACGGCTGCAGCAGCCCGTCGCATAGCCCTGAGGTCAATGGCTCGAAATCATGCTCCATGCGCCTTGAAAATCTGCATTTGAGTACATGACAAAACAAGAACCCATGTGTCGCTGGCAAAGAATGATGAGAATAGAATGTGCATGTTCCAAGCACGCTGGCTGCACAATACAATTGGCTGGTCAAACTTCCGGTCATCGACGTCGGTGATCATTTCAATAAATTTCAATACTGGTACTCTGCCTAAAGGCGCCATAAGTACAAGACACCGAGTCTTCATCATCGCTTACATAAACCCTAGGCCCCCCAGTAGAGAGGTTAGAACAAGGGTGCCTCTTTTTTCTGTAGTCTATTTTAATAGGGGAACCTCCCACAGAAAAGGGAAAAAGGGCACCACCGGGGGACCTAGAACCTAGTAGAAGCAGGTTGCCAGCCTTTTATGCGTTGATTGAATTACCGGCATCTGCCGGCTCTGGCCGGCATCGCACACACACATGCAACCTGGCCTCATGGCAACGAGAGCTTGTCAAAGTTCCGCGCTTTGTGCTCGACCATCAATGTTTCTCGTTGCCTTTGCTGCTTGTGTTTCATCCAGGTCCAACATGACTTTTGCCTGCAACATCAAGTTCTTTCTTAATGACCCTCAGGAAGCAATAGTCTGTGCCAAAGGCTCTGGACACTGCTGCAGCCAGTTGTCAGCTTCAAATGTGTGGCCGACAGAAAGCCAAACAGCTGCGTGGAAGCTGCATATGTGGATGGACAACATCCTGCACTACCGTTCAGAAACCCCTGGAAGGACTCCAAGTGGTGCGAAATGGATTTCGTCCATCCACAGTGCGTGTGTGTGTGTGTGTGTGTGTGGGTGCGTGCGTGCGTGCGTGGGTGCGTGCGTGCGTGCGTGCGTGCGTGGGAGGATACCCGATACCTGCCTTGGTGACTTCTCTGCCAGGGAAGCCAACAGAACACCGCCATTGGAGTTCAAATCCCCCCATTTGCACATCCCATTAAAAGAAACCACCACACACAAAAAAGGAGAGAGAGTAGAGAAAACCATACATCTTTTAGTAGAAAATTGAAAACAACTGTGCAGGTGGGAGAAGCAAATCATCCTGACTGAAGGTGCTTCTTTTACGCCCGGCTTTTCAAGCCATAAGCCTGACCCCATGACATCCTGCTGGGTGAACTGCGAGTATACTCCAAGCCAGGGCCTTGGTGGGTATAGGTCAAAATCGGGGGACGGACCCGCAAAGATGTGGTCTTCCTGTTGGTTTCCCTTTAAACCCACCCCAAAAAGGGTACCCAGTACGAGTTTGCAATTATCCACATGGGGATCCAGCGCGAGACTGTTCGCACTTTTGATCACGTCTCGCTTTGCGGCGCTCCTTGGGAGCAGCCCATTCCCAAAACGGTGCTCAGCAGAGGGAACGCGCGCGATGCGCGCGATGCGCAGGCAGAAACACGACGTTTGGGCGAGGCTTCAGCTGTGCCACAGCTTGTGAGACACGGAGCCGGCTCTGGCGTTTCTGGCATGCCGCTATGCCGCTATGCTTACTCCGAAATCTGAACGGTGCAGCAAGTGGCCCCTATCTGCTTCAAACAAGACCAGCGGCTCGTCTTTGCCAGCTTTTTGGAACCAGAAGTGCCAAAGAAGCCTCTGGCCGACTTGATCTCAATTCAATTCACAGAGAGATAACCGCCTTTTCACGCCAGTCGGCACAAGCTCTTCTGAGCCAGCTTGGGGCGGAGATTCTGAATAAAAAGCTGGCCATCCGGAGGTCTCTCACAAAGCCCAACTGTCCACGCGTTGTTTTGTTGTTGAAATCCACTCGGTTTACCCGCTTCCCTGAGTCCAAGGCAGCGTGCGGGACAGTTGGTTTGGCATTCCAGGTGCTTCCATTTAGTGGAAGGTGTCGTCTGTCATGCTGAGCTCCTCCTTCAGATTTGCCTGAGACGTCAATCGGAAGCCCTGAGCATGTCGCTCACTACTGTGGATGGACGAATTCCATTTTGCACCACTTTAAAACCATGGGAAACCACTGTTCGTTGGTATTTACAGGGGAATGATAATTCTATGGTTTCTCAGGTGATGCAGGATTTCGTCCATCCACAGTAGCACCCGTTCAACACCCATTAGCGAAGTCATTGGTAGCGTTGTTTTCGCTTGTTTCCTGCTTTGCGTGCTGGATGGTCTGGAGTCTGATTGCACCACTGCACTGTTCATGCACGAGTGCAAGCGTTGCTTCTAATTTGATGAAGGATATGATGGACGCCCCGACATCAAGCCGCCGGCAATGCTGGAAACCAATTCATCTCTCGAGACCTATGGAGCACTCTCAGTCCAGTCATGTCGAGTGTGAATCACTCAACCTGGAACACACCAGGGTTGACAGGCCTTAAATATGTGTGCGTGTGTGTGCGTGTTTGATTGTTGAGGGTAATTTGACTCGGGGTTGGTTTAAAAGACAGGGGGAGAACCAGTTGGGTCGGGGGGGGGCAAATTATTTGGTTGTTCCAGCAGAGTAGTTCACCAGAGGTTTAGTCCCGGGTTCCCGTTAAGTGAAGGCCAGCACCTCTGCTCACTGTGTGGAGGCCAGGCCGGCCAGGAAGGCAATTCCCAAAATGTAGGCCAGAACGAGCAATGAATTCAGCGAAAGCACTCCCCAAGTCGCCGTTTCATAAGGATGGGCTCTGCGTATTGCTTGCGATTGAAGCACCACGAGTCTCTTTGGAAACCGACCTCCCAGTGTTGAATTGAACCCAACCCACACAAATCATTCCAATCTCCACCGCCCTGTTTCGCGAGCCTCCAGCGGAGTGCCTGCGAAATGTGATCGCTCAGAAGCTCTTGCCGATCGAGGGCTGAGACTCCGAGCATGGGGGCTGGGGGGAAGCGGAGGGGGAGGGAGCCCAAATGAGCCCTTATTATTTTTTAAGAGTTTAAGCGGCTTCTTTGGGTTCCCTCCTCCCCAGCCGCCCTGATCCAAACTCAACTTCGCGAGCGGTATCGCATTTGGTTTTCCAAGGAGCCCAAATGAATTAGAGTGGAAGCGGCTTATTTGGGCTCTCTCACTTGGGACTCAGCTGTCGGCGTGTCTCTCGCTTTGGCTCCGATTTGTCAACTGTCGCACTCAAATCAACCGAAATTAGTTGGAAGCATGGCCCCTGAAAGAAACACTAGGCATCCCCAATCCGATTGCAAGAAGTGTATCGCTTGGCAACTGAAATGCAAATGGGTGCTTTTTGGAGGCTGCCCTTTTTCAGGCTGGTTTCAAGAGAAACCAACAGGACACAGACCATTGTTGGGGTCCGGGCCCAACAATTTTTGAGACGAGCGCACCTGTTTACATTTGAAACAGCCTGGATCGGCCCACACCTTGGATCTCCATTCGAAATGGAACAACCGCCTGGCCTCCACGGTCCGGGAAGACCGTGGAACTGGTCTCCTTGCAGTGGGATCTGGTGCCACATTGGGATCTGCTGATCTATCAATCCTCTGAATGCCCCAAGGAGGCGCTTGCTGGAGGCTGGCCTTGCTTTTCGAGGGATGCTGCAATCCCGGCAGAGTTGCCTGTGATCTTCTCAGTCACGAAGGATAGCTTGCGAAATGCTGGATGCAGGGCTAGGAATTTAGGAATGCAATGCTAGGCTTGGAACTATAGACAGCACGGGTGAATGTCTGGAACAAGACTGAAACAAACCAATGCCACTGAGACAAAGTCAATTGGACAAGTAGTGTGTCCCCCGGCTTTTGTGGGACACTTAGTGAGTTCGCTTCTGTCCCTCCCAATGCGATGCTTCGTGCTGAAGCGTCTGCAGCGCAAAAAGACCGGGCAATGTGCTTGCCTTGCAACCAGCAAACCGCAAACCGAACAGGCAGGCGCAACAACTTAGACCCAACCGCCTACAAGCGAAAGCCCAACTAGGGCCCAACTCATAGTCGTTGATTCAAGAGGTGCGCACTCACGCTCGTTCCATGTGCTCCAAAAACCAACATGCACACGTGTCGCCTCTCTGCAACCGAGAAGCGATCAGATCCCTAGGAGCAACCAGAGACCACAATTACCCCACGCAGCATTGAACATCAATACTGGTACATCAAAACCCGGAAGCTAACCAAGTCCAGATTGAATTGTGTCGCACTGGGAATTAGGCGTTGTTGAAGCTCCAACATGACTGATGAACACAAATCCTGCACCTGGACCCCCAATAAACCAATAGCAGTATCAATCAGTCATCGCATGACATATGGGGGGGGTGGATCAATATTCCATTTAAATGTAGTGCCCCCAAATGACCATGGGTAACCTTTCCCATGTGGGAAAAATCATCATTTTAGTGGTTGTCCATCCCATGTTCGTCGGACCTTTTGATGAACCCCCATAGAAGGACCTTGAGAAGACCGTGTCAAGGAAGGCCAGCAGGTGTGTCTCAAAATCGGACCTTCTTTTTGAATGGTGCTTTTAGGGGAACCCAAAGGAAACCAACCACCTGGAGAAAGGGTCCCTAATTTTAATTTTGAGTGACACACCCAGAATCGCAAAATCCTTATTCTTTCGCCCTTCCATCGCAAACCAGATCAATTCGCCAGTGCACACAAGCATTGGAAGCGTTGAATGGGTGAAGCGCAGCCTTTGGCCTGCGTGATTCGATGCGTTCTGCTTGAGCCGCTGAATCACAAGGCTCGCCGGACTTCCTTTTCAATTCACATTTACCGGCTCCCATGAAACTGCAAGCTGGCCAAACAAGTTGGCAAATCCAGATAACCCTAAAACATAATTACCAAGGGAAACCACCAAAAATACCAAGGGGAACCAACAAAAACACACCGCCCCCGAAAAGGCCGGAACCGCGGAACCGCGGAACTGCTCGCGGCTCCTTCATCTCCTTTCCCAAGGTCCACACCTCCACCCCGCTCGCCGTCTCGGGTCGCGTGGACTCCTGGCCAAGGGCTCCGCGTGATCCAAACCGGGGGGCGCCCTGAGCTCCAGGGTGGACAACGGGAGCAGATGTTCGGAGTGAGTTTGTTCAACAGAGTCATCAACGCATTGGTATGAAAATGGCCGTAATCCCAGAACTATGTACATCATTAAGGCGGATATCCGCAGCTACTGGCTGGGATTGTCATTTATCTTACTGAGCTTCATCGACCGGGGTTTTGAGTGTGGCTCACCTGACCAGCGTACGATTGGCGTGACATGAAGTTGCCCATTCGCAATATCATATAATATCGGCGTACCCGCGAAAGATCTTCCCAATAGAACATGGACCCTCTTGGTATTTAGCACTCATTTGCGTTGGGCCATGGACCCAACCGCAGTTGTGAATGAAAGGGTCCGGCGCTGCGAAAATCGCGCCATCACGCCATGTTCGGTTGACACAGGGGACGGCAACGAAAAGCTGCTCCGACTACGTGGACCCTCAAAAGTGCCTGAACTTTGGTTTGGCATCATGAGGCCAAAGCACAAGCAGCCCGGGCTTAGGTTGGTTGGCAGGGAAGTGTTCACCCCTATACTTTGCTTGCTGATAACGGAAACACATACTCTACCCGACACACTCAAGTCAGAGCCTCAGACAGGCAAGACATTGACATTCTCTCCGAACACACAACCCAGTAATTCCGTTTCCCCATTTTTGGAGCCACCATGTTCAACTGATCAATGGGATACGGGCGCATTATTATTCTGTATGTTGGCTTGCCTATCCCCACAAATGCCCAACGCTGCCTCGGTCTTGGGCCGTGGGGTTGAAAAGCCGCCTCAGATGCGCACGTCGGACGCTGAATGCGCACGTGAAACTCGCAGAAACCCGGCCCTGAAAGGAACATAGAAAACTGACAATCTATTTGGCCGCTTCGGAGCGCCTTATTTTCTTGAGCCAAAATATGTCGGTAGTCTCAACTGTACAACTGTATATGACAACATGCGTATTGGGCTACATATTTCAACACTCGTCCTTGCTGGAGGGTGCTTGATCACCCGCACAGCAACTATACAGTGCGGTAGTCGGAGCCTGGACCAGGGCCTTACGAATCTAGAAGACTCATCTGGCCTTTACTCTTGCTTTGAAGAAACACAAATCCGGAACGATTCATTGTGTCCTTCATTTGGACTCCGGGTACTGACTTTGTCAGCACATCAGACCTGTTCCGCTTGCTCTATTAACCGTGCCTTTGGCTGCGGTTGCATCAGACTCTACTAGAACCTCTACCTCAACTCCAAAGTCTTGAAGGAGGGATTGAAGTCCTAATCCTACAGAACCGCCTTTCACCAAAGCGTAATACTCACTCTCTCCAGTGCTCAATGCTATAGTCGACTGGACGTTGCTTGAGTGCTTCAGTGTATGGCTACCATAGAGGGCAACCATGCCTGTTGTGCTTCGCCTAGTGACAGCGTCTCCTGCATGGTCAGAATCAACCTGTATACGGACCTTCGAAGGTTTGGCTTGTCGCCCAAACACTTGACAAAGATCAGGATACTTCAGCAAATACCTGCGCTGTCTCTTCAGGTCTTGCATCGCCGCCTCGGTCGGGGTGACCCTTCCTTGAAAGATTCTTCACAGCGTGCGAAAGATCAGAGATCAGGACGATCTTGACTGAGGTACGCTGCTCGCATCACACTCGACCTATAAAGTGAAGCTGCTTCTCGCGCCAATGGAGGGCTGTTAGCCTCCAAAAGCTGCTGCTCCACGGACTTCTTGATGTCTGGGGTCTCAGTGCCCCTCGCGTTCGCCATTCCCCGATGTCTCACCAAAAGTTCCACATGACGGCGGTCAGGTTCCAAGAAAACCGCTGATTGGCCTTCGTGCATGCCAATGCGGATCAGACGATTCAAGAAATGTGCAGCGCGATCATCTCCATCCTCGTCTCCCAGCATTCCGAGCCGTTTCAGCTCGTAGGCACTCAGTAGAGTGGAATCCAGCTCATCCAAAGCTTCTTGATCACCAAGTGCAAGGAAGTCGTCTCCATGAACCAACACTCTGCACCCTGTGCTCGGCTTGTAAAAGCAGGAACCATTGCTGCGGCCACGCTGAAACCCATGCTTCAAAAGAAGTTGGGTATAATGGTCTTGCCATATTGCTGGCGCGTCTTGGCAACCATACATGCTCTTCTCCAACAAACCACAGAAGCCTTCTTCTGCGTCTTCTGGTGGAAGCTCCACATATATGCGTCGCTTCGGAACTCCATAAAAGTGCGCTCGACTTATGTCCCAGAGACCGAGCTTCAGTCTCCGGCCCTTGGCTGACACCCGGTCTGTTGCCCAGGCACTCAGCAAGTAGCGCATTGCCTCCAACGGCGGCGTTGACGAGAACAGGAGGTTCTGCGGCAACTGTTCTTCCGGCTTCTTAGCTGCCTTAATTTCACGGGCAACTAATCTAGACCGGTAGTTGGGCTTTTCCGGATCTCCTTTGTTCGTGTCTAACCATCTCACCGTGATTGGACGAAGTCCCTCTGTGTAGCATTGTGTTACCGGCACCTTCCGGTAAACTCCTTGACTCCTTGCTTCTTGAAGTCCAGTCCATCTCAAGAACTGGTTCCTTCTTAACTTCTTCCGCTGGTAGAAGTCCTCCATTCACATCATCCCAGTACTCTTCAATGTAGCCTGCTGGAACAAAAGGTTCCTCACAGATTGGCCCTGATGTATTCGACTCCATTGAGTTAAGCTCACCCTTCTGTACAAGATAAGCTTTGACTGTCCGAAGGACAGCTTTGACCAGCGCAGGTGGGTACCTGGCGGCCTGTTTGGCAATTCCACCAATAAGGTGTACATGCCTGTGCCAGGGATCTTTCCCTGCCTTGTTGCTGCACTCACCTTCCAAGAGCTCAGCAAGCTCCCGGCTATTAGTGAGCCAACCGGTCTCCTTTCTCACATAGCCCGTGCCTTGAAGACCACGGCGGTCTGTCGCCATCATCTCCCATCGGCACATCGGCCCTCGGACCAAATATGTGTCCGGGCGATCCGTCAGTTCCTTGACTTCAGGATCTTTCCACGAAGTGGCACTCCAGGGCGCCTCGTGCAAGAACAGGCGTCCTGTATCCAGCTGCTTCCTATAGAAGCTGCATGAGTTGTGCAAATGCTCCAGTGCTTTATCCATACGGATCTTACGTTGATCCGGGCTGACCCTGTACTTGTTGATGTTCTGCAAGTGGCTGAATTGATCACACGGCGGACTCCCAGTCAGTAGTACTGGTTCGTCGCGATCAATCAGTTGGTTTACGGCCTCGACGTCTTCTGGCCTGCTAAGGTCCCAGAACGAACCGTCGGGTTTAGCCTCCTCAAGGTCAATTGCGAAACCAGGCTTTAAACCAAACCTGCTCGCCTCCTTAGAGAATCTTGCTGGACTGTACACTTCCATGATGTGTACGGCGCTTAGCTCGCAGCTTATGTTGGCTAGAGTCTCAATTTCCACTGACGAGATCTCTACCTCCTGGACAGTCCTCCCGCGTCCGGGGGCTGCCCTGGAGTAGTTGCTCCAGCAGGTGGCTCTTCAGTTTGATCTCTCAAATCTTCAACTGATACCTCAGGTTCTCTCTTCTCTCCTTGGGGTGGCTGGACCTTCAGCTTAGGTCCAGCGGCTATCCTGAGTTCTCCCGGTCTTTTCTGAGGCTTGACCGGTGAGGCTTTAGCCTTACTCCCTGCAGGCGTACTGCTACTGCTGGGCTCTGCAGGTGCACGTTTCAGGCTTGACCTCTCCTCTGGGTTGTCAGGGTATGGCAAGATGCCCTCATCCCTGCGTTCTTCACTAGCTTGCACGGCCTTGTCGGCCGGTGCTCCAGCTGCGTCATCAGCTGTCACATCCCTCTCAGGGGCCTCGTTCTTCTCATCTCTTTTAGATCTCTTCTTCCTCTCGTGTTCTTCTAATCTGCTCTTGCCTTCCTCATCTTGTTGCATCAGAGTGGCTCTGCATGCTTCCGTGTGTGGCAACACGGTAGATTGGCCCAGCAAAATGCATGTGCATCCTGGGCACCCATCTGTACGCGTATACTTCTCGACGTCTGCCTTCCGGATGTAGATCCTCTTCTGCATAGGTGGCGCCATGACATGAACTGCTGGTGGCACCTCCATCCTTGGCTCTCCAACCAAGACAACGGCTTCTCCAGCCGCTCCGGCACGTGGCGTGCCCGGTGACCTCCGTGCAGTCACCTCCCATGGAAGCCCTCGTAGGGCATCCCATCCGTCGGCTACCCAACGGTCACAGTCCGCCAGCCTGCGGACTCCAGTGCCCCTCTTGACACCATCTGCTGTGATCACGAAAAGTGATCCGGTACAACCATGGTGGCCGATGTACCGGCCTTCCTTAAGATGTCGTACTCCTTCTCCTACCTCACGGTAGTACAACTTTTCGCCTATAGCGATCGCTCGCTTTCGCCAGTTCTTACCACAACGCCTGTGTTCAGGCGTGCGGCCGTCCGGTCCTTTGCGGTACCGGCACATCAGGTCTGCCGCATGCCGCGGAAGCCATGCCAGGACGGGATCGTCCTCGCGTAGAACCTTGCCGATCATCTCTTCTAAAGAAGACCTCAAGACTCTTACCTGCCTCTTGACCTCACGGACTGCACTCTCCGCAAGTCCATTGCTCCGGTGGTCACCCACCGGGGACTCCTGTGGAACGCTTTCCACTCCAGCCTCACGGGCTGCCTGCTCCTTAAGAGCAACAATCGAATGCTCACCATCGCTCATCATGACCGCTCTCCGATAGCCTAAGTGCTTCAGAAAGTTGGCAAAGAACTTCACGGCATAGGGTGTAGGACCCTTTGCATCCACAAAAGTGGCTGCCACGGACAACGTCCGGCTGTCTTTGATACCAAGATAGGCTTGGCTCTTCCATCTTCCTTGCCATCTGTAGTCATGAAGGTGTAGTCGCTCGCGATGATGGGTAAACCGTCATCTCTCTTACTCTCCTCGTCTCGAGACCTGTGTTGCTGACCTAGGCCTCTCCCAGCAACGCAATGCCGGCACCAAGTCCTGTACTGAACATGGCCTGTGGACTCATGCTCGTCCACCTCCGCCCTTGTCGGGTTCGCTGGTGCGTGCACCAACGCAGGCGGTGCAATCTCCTCACTCTCCTCTTCTCTCTCAGGAACACCCTCAGGTCGGCCCTCAGGTGCTCCCATGTCCTCATCTCCTCGTCCGGCGGGCGCGGCATCATCTGCCGCTGCCATGGCTTGGGCCGGACTTACACCACTGTGGGCTGCCGCCCAAAACCCTGAGTAGGTGCCTTCGCCTTAGGTAGAAGTTGTAGACACCTTTCTCCTGGTACACCGGAATCCATGCCTTCGCATGGTGCTTGTTCTTCTCCTTCTCAATGAGCTCCAAGATCTTGCCAGAAACCTTGGAGTCCTGCGGGATCAGATTCCCGCCATGCTCGTCTAGCACCGCAACTCTGCCGTGCCTCAAGCATTTGTAGGCCGAGACCAAGGGTTTGTGTACCGGAGCCAACGGGCCTGTGACACTACAACAGTGCCCATACTCTCCGGTTCCTTTGAACACACCCGTACCAGTCCCACGGACCAGCTCACCTGAGGCCGTTTTGAACATAACCTCAGTTCCTTCCTTGACCGGCACTTTGTCTGCCCAGTCCGATGGGATTGCTGTCTGGGCTGCACCGGTGTCCAAATTGAAGCGGACCCATTCCATAGCCTGGAGGTCCTCTCCAGCTGTAAGTGCACCCAGCTCAAACATACCCACATCGAGCTCTCCTTCGGGTTGTTCTTCTTCATGGGCTCCCTCACCTGTGTCCTCTTCCAGTGAGTTCGCTCCTTTGTGCTTACCCTTGCTCTTGCCTTTCTTTCCACCTCCTTTTGAGCCTTTGCTTGAGCCTTTGTTTGAGCCATCCTTCTTTTTACTCCAGCACTCCGCAGCTTTATGCCCGGCTTTACCGCAATTAAAGCAAACTATGTCCTTGGAAGTTGAACCTTTTCCCCCACTGCCCTTGTCTTTACCTTTGCCCTTACTCTTGCCCTTTCCACCGGATCCCTTGCCTTTGACCAAGCTGTTGATGACCTTTGTGAGGCTGTCCACGTCCATGGGCGCCGGACCACTGTCCGATGAGGATGCTGCGCCAGGGCGTGAAATCGGTGCCTTACTTCCCAAAGAGGATTCAATCACAAGGTCAATTTCTGATTTCATCTGTGCGTAGGTTGTGAGGCGTCCTTTGTTCAACAAAAGGTGGCGTTCAATGTCTGAGGGTACAAGCAACTCCAAGCTGGTCGCCTTTATGTCTTCTGACAGGCGTTCTCTCTCACCAGCTTCGTTCTTGCGATTTTCATATCGCCTGAAAAGGTCCTCTAGTTGCTCTATTGCGGCCCTCACATTTTCCCACCGTTTCACACGTTCTGGGTTCAATATCGCCCGGAGTATGTTTCTCTTCCGTCCGGCGGTTAGGGGATCCCACCGGCGGTGGATTCTTCTCCACGCTTCGAACCCATTAGAACAGCCTATCACCAAGTCCTCAGTCTCTCCATGGGTTAAGGAAGAAAGCAAACGAAACAATTGGTCCCCTATGTCTGGTAAACCGGACACCCCGTCCGGCTCCCCATGCGCGGCCTCGACTTCGTCCACAGTGATGTCGTCGGGCCCATCCTGATCGAGGCACCAATCCAATACTTTCTCAAATTCCTTCCCAAAGATGCTGACAACAAGGTTTGTGACTGAACGCACCCACTTCCGGAACGTATGCTCTTCATTGTTGAACCGTTCCGGCTTACCAATCCCCTTTGTGTCAACCAACAGCTTCCTGGGTTCCTCTCTTTTTGTATTCCTGGCCAATTCTGTCATGCTTTCGGCCAGCCGGGTCAACAGGGCAGTTTGTTCCTGTTGCCTCTGTTGCTGCTCGCGCAACACTCTATTTTCCTCAAGGATCTGCTGCAGTTGCGCTTGTATGGCAGCTAATTCTGCCATTGGCCCTCGGCAGACTATACGTCTGCCTCGCTATCCTCGGCGGGTTCCTCCACAAAGATCTCGGACCCCGAAGTGTAGGTTTCCGAGTCTGTGGACTCCTGCTCAGTCGGAAAGCGGACTCCGGACCACTTAGGCTGCGGAGCTCCCGGTGGCTTCTGCTTGGGCTTGAGGAACACCGGTGGGCCTTTGCTGCTTTTGGCCACTTCCTCACCCGGCTTTTCCTCGGGCTGCAGCTTGAGCTTGGGCTGCAACTTGACCTTTGCTGCAGGCTTTCCGGATGCTGTCTTGGGCACAGGTGGCGGCTTCTTCGCCGCGGGCTTGGGGTTCACTGCAAGGGCCTTTGATGCAGTGGTGACAACAGCAGGTGCGATAGGCGTCGCGCCCTTCGCGCCCTTGCCTTGGCTCGCGATGCGCGCCGCACGCTCCAACACCCACGGGTATTGGGCGCGGTGCCTCTCGTCGCACGAGCTGCAAGCCTTTGCTAGGCTGTCACGGGCCAACACCTGGGCCCTGATCGCTGCCTCTACGGCAGCTCCGGCTGTTCCTTGAGCCGGTGCTTTGCTCTCGGCAATTTCCTGAGCGATTGCCGCGTTCCTCAGGCGGTAGTTGCTGGCCAATGCAGACTCCGGGGTGGCTTTGCCTGCACGCACTCTGCGCAATGCTGCCTCTTGCGTGGCTAGCGCCACACTGATCACGCGGCCTGCAGACTTCGCCGCGGCTGCCACCTCCGGCAGCAATGCAATTGGCTCAGCGCCCGGTGCTGCTGCCTCCTCAGCTGCTGCGGCTGCTTTGGCAGTGGGCTCCTCCTCCTCCTCCGAGGTGCTTCCACTGGTCGGCCTTCGCTTACGGCGGGTCAACTCCCGCTTAGGCCTTTGCCTTGGACCACCTGGAGGGGACTTTGGCTGCACGTTCCTGCCAATGCCTTTGGGGACAGGCACCTCGTAGCCGTACTCTTCTTCAAACTTATCGAGGGCTTCCTGGACTGCAGGCGGGATCGGGTTATTGCGCTTCAAGTTCAACTTGACCAAGCCCCGCAAGAACCGGTAGGACCTCGCCTCCTTGGACCGGCGTCCGTCCTTCCACTTGCCGGCTGAGTTCTCCTTCACGCGGGGCCAGGGCGCCTTGCTCTTCTTCTTCTTCTCGCCCTTCTTGCCTTTGCCCTTTCCCTTGCCTGCTTCTTCGGGCTTCTCCTCAGCTGCTGCAGGGGCCTCCTCCTCTGATTCTACTTGGACCTCCTCTTCCTCAGCTGCTGCTTCTGCTGCTGGTGCTGGTGCTGTGCTGCTGGCACGGATCGATGAGGACGGGGCTGCCAGGGCGATCAAAGCAGATCGCCAGGTGCCCAAGGTGTCCGAGTCCGACGCTGAAGCCTCTGTGGATCTATTGACGATCCACCCTTTGCGCGCCGGCTTCTTCGGCTCTGGGGGCTTATCCTCTCCCTTCTTTCTCTTCTTTGGTGGCTCCTCTGGCTCCTCTGGCTCCTCCAGCAGCTTAGCTAAGATCCTCTCTGTCTCAGCTGCCTGCTGGGCAACGCTCTCCTCGTTGGGGGACCAATCTGGTCCCGAGGCCAATTCTTCTGGCCCCTCTTCAGCTCCTCCGAGCTGCTCAGGCCCGGTCTCCTCCACCGGGGCCTCTTCGGGCAGCTCCTCGGTCTCTGGCACGACCGAAGCGCCCTCCTCGCCTGGCGGCTCTACCGCCGCCGGGCTCCTGCCGCGTCCGCGGCCTCCCCGCCTCCAAGGCGGTACTGATCCACGCCCTCTGCTGGCGTAGTACCAAATTGAGCGCTTAGGTCCCTCTGAACCTTTACTTCTTGAGCCAAAATATGTCGGTAGTCTCAACTGTACAACTGTATATGACAACATGCGTATTGGGCTACATATTTCAACAAAAACACACCCACCCTTAATTTAAGGCCTCAAGAAAGCCAACTTATGAGCACTGCCTCCAAAGTTTCACGAGCTGTGGTTGGAGGTTGCACCCATCTTTTGGAGCGCTTGACTAAGTAGACCTTGTTGCCGCTGACAGTCGATGTTTCAATGCTAAAACAGCTGACCGGCAGTGCAACAAACTGCAGCTGTGGAGCATTGGTCAAACGATAAGCTGCCTTCCGATCGTGTCGACAAGCGCACAACTACAAAGCACTCTTGCAAACAAGTCGTGCCATCCGCCATTAATTCGTACGGGTGTGTCTTTGTGTTGAGGGTGCCCGCTTTTGCGCTGGTGCAAAGGAACACCAAAAGGAAATCCACCATTCGCCCCCCCCCCCCCCCTTTTTAGCCTATGCCCTGTTTACAAAGGTTGCGAATTGCCAGGATCGTTTTTCGGGATTTCTGAAAGGAATGGAGCGTTTGAGATCTGGTCTTGTGTCAAGAAACACCCTAAACCTGACAAGCTGAGGATAGTATACCAGTCCCCAACAAAAAATACATACACATATACACCCATTTGCGGCTTTCGGCTTTCTCCAAGAGAAGCCGAAACCATGCAGCAAACCCCTTTTTCACTGTTCTCAAGGGGGTAGGGAATGAGGGAATGACCATGCTTCCTTTAGGGGAAATTCCCAGCTTCATTCCATTTCTCGTTCCCTACCTATCGCACCAAGACGAAAAACGAAAAGTCTTTGGGTGTCAACACAATCTTGCGAACCTCGATGCATCTGTCGAAGGTCCTCCCGACTTTTCCGCGAACCTCGGGATCGATCCGCGGATCCGCGTCCGAGGTGCACCAAGCGTCCTTCGGCATCAGCAACTGAGCGGTCTCGTGGAGTCCCCGCCGTTGCGCCTCGAGAAAACGGGTCCAGCCGTTCGAAGCGAAGTGAACAGGGAATCCTTCGAGGATTTAGCCTCCCAGCTTTTTCACATGGAAGCTGACGTCCCTTCAAATTGAAAGGAGCATGATCCAAACCAGGACACCCCGAACGTCAGGTTCCATCTTAATTACCTTCTCCTCCCTTCAGACTAGAGCCCCTAAAAGGACGGTGGTCCTTTCGGCTTCCCTTCAACCCACAAAAGGGGCAACACTGCGGCAACACACCACGTCAACCCACCCGCCCAAAAAAAAGAAGAAAAGACAACGGATTTAGCCTCCCACCTTTCTCACATGGAAGCTGACAGTTAAATGGACTCTTCAAAAGAAAAAATGATCCAAACCAGGACCCTCCCGAACGTCAGGTTCCATGTTAATTGGTGGAGGGTATCCCCAAACCTCCTGCTTCACAAGCTGGATCCTCCAAGTTGATACTACAAATGAATCAGCTGAAAAGAGAGTTGTCAAGCTGCAAAAATGAAAATAATAATTTTCAGGAACCCTGTCTGATTCGCAGAGCTTCCGCTGCGAGCACGAACGGAAAGATTCAAATGGCCATGGGTCAAAATCCAAATCGCACCCCCAGTGAACATCCGCTTTCGATGGCCTCGTCAGCCGCTCCGCTGCAGCGCGCCAAGGCCTCCGGGCAAAAACAAATTCAGGCCTGGCGCTTTGCCTGGAAGAAGCCCAGGATACCGGGACTCCCACCCTTTTTCACGCCTTCAGAAGGGTCCTGGTTTGGACCATTGTCCTTGTAAAGGGACCATGTCCCTGCCAGGTTCCGTGGTAAAAAAGGCGAGAGGCGAAATGCTCCAGGCTTGAAGGTGCTAAGGCCGGTCTGGAGCTCCCTAGTTGATGTTCAAACCAGCGAAACAACCTGGTGTCCTTTTTCAAGCCAAGGGTTTCGTTGGGACCCGAACACTTGATGAGAAACCAAACACCTTGGCAGCCTCTGGCCACTGTCGGCCAGAAATATGGACTGAGCGCATCCTAATTAGCTCCAGCACCCAAGCCCACCAAAACTTGACATCTGACAACAAACACCCCTGCGTCAGGCATTGCAACTAGGATATGAGAGTGTTGCTCTAAGAACCCAGCCTTAAAGAATCGCCAACTTGCCAACAGTGCAGCTGTGAAATCAGTCTTTCATAATGCCGGACTGGTTTGTCACTACAATCATCTGCCGTTGACCTTCCACGCACAAGTGCGGATGCTCTAACTCCTTTCGACTCCTTTGGCAAGCACGTCCCTGTCCTTCTGAATATGCAAAACAAAGCATTCTGACTGATGATTTGCACTCGGCTTGCAGCACAACCGTCTTGTGTGTGTGTGTGTGCATGGAATCTGAGATGCCTTGGGGCTGTCTCGCTTTTTCAGCCATCGCAAACTCAAATTTGTGGGCTCGAAGCCTAGGAATTGTGCAAACGCAGTGCCGAGTCGAATTTACAATATCCGCCAGCAAACAAGCACACACAAACAAAAGCAAGCTCTCTTGGTACCACAAACCCTTGCCTGCTTCGTTGCACATGGGTGTCATGTTGCTTCTCTGGTTGGTTGTGTTTCTGGTTTGCTCTTTGAAAGGGAATCCCAAGAAGGAAAACCAGCGCCAAAGGTAAGGTTCCTCTAGGCCTTGATTCCCCATTCTTTTCAACCATCGCTCTTTTCTCAGAAACCAGATCTGTTTCCCCTGGGTTTTGATGGTTTCCTGAAAAGATTCGGATCGGTTCAGAATGGGCAACAAAAAATCCCTCAAAAGAATGGGAAAAGAAGAGATCCTGATCCCTGAAAAAAACGATCGGATCCCTGGTACCCCTCGAGCTCCCCGATTTCACCACGGCAAGCCCTTCGCTTCGCTTCGCCTCCAGGAAGGCCGCCTTTGCTTTGTCACGAGCATCCATCGCCTACCGATCAGCGCGCGCCGTGCTGCCAAATCGCCATGGGTCAAAGTCCAATCGGGCCCCCACTGAACATCTCAATCAAAATAGACTGAATTGAGGGGTGAATTCACCTACCCCAAAATGGTACCAAAACGGTTTTGACCAGCCATTTGCTGAAACCCCCGGGACAAAATAGAACAAACCTCCTGTAGTGACGTATATCCCCTTTGAAACCAAACACAAAAATGCGAATACAAAAACCATTCAGCAAATGGGAGCCATGCTTTGGGTCATTGGAAAATTGGACTTTGAGGAGCCGAAGGCTTGGGACCAAACAGCTCACCCTGAATCACAGAAAGATGAGCACCCATGAAAAACTGAATGCCAGGCTCGAACGCGTGGGGCCACTGCGTAATACCCAAAGCAAACCATCGAGCAACAAAACACAAGCGGTGTTCTTGGCCATCTGGGGTACACAAACGGGATCTCTGACTCTGTTCCATAGCCTACTACACTATACGCAGTCTTGGAAGAGACCCCAAAAAATTCTGACCGAAGTACGTCAACAACCTGGGGGGACCCAAACTCAATGCCAGCTTGCCTTCTGGCTCCCTCAAAGCCCTAAGAAGGGGAGCAAGTCAATTGTTCGCGGCCCTTTGTGGCCGGATGCCCGGAATTTGTCGGATGGGCGATCGGGCCGCGGGCCCACTCGGAAGCGGGAAAACCCGGAGGCCGGAGGGGAAAAGGGCAAGCAAAACAGCCACTGGTGTTCCTCCATTTGCCTAAGTCCCCTGGAAAAAAATAAACATATTTTTAGTAGTGATAGATTCCCTTTGAAACCAACAGGGGGGACTAAAAAAAAAAAGAAAGTCTTAAGCAAATAGAAGTGTTTCCCTCTCACGCCTCATTTGCCCGCCGCTCCGCAACCTCCACTTGCTCCGTGAACCGCTGCTGCGCGATCCGCACCTGGCGCAAGCGGATCAGAGGGGGAGAAAAAAACACACCAGATCTGGAGACCACAGGGTCGCTCAAAAGAAGTCACACGTCTTTGCCACCCAATGGGAATGAGTCGGAATGAGTGGGAATGAGTGGAAATACGCGGGAATCAGTTGGCTGGGGAATCATGAAACCAAGGACAATAATCAGCATTTGGCTACATCCACCAAGTTTAGTGCGCAGTAGCGCAGGAGCAGTCGTGCTCCATGTGAAGTGAGCTGCCGTCAAAATAAGCTGTAAGAAGAGAGCCCCAAAGCTCACGCATCAACCTATGCCATCAGCACATTCTCCAGTGCATTGCGTGAAAAACACATTTGAAAAGCTTGGGTCATGCAAACATATGGTCACTCCGCAGTGATGGCTGTGTTGCTTGTAAACTGGCAGCAAGGAATCATGCATTCACTCCAGAGCAAATTCCCGATGAAGAGCATGCTATTCAAGAATGCATGCAGCAAGGAATATATATATATATGTATATATGTAGTTTCATTTGTTTTAGTGCAATGCTCCACATGCGCGGCGCCCCAAAGTGCGCCTTCTCTTGGGCAATGTCTTTTCCCATCTCCGCTCGCTCCTGACTTCGTCGTCTCATGTCCTGGCGTGGCATGCTGCCGATGTGTGAGATGTTAATCAGGCTCGCGTCCCGAACATTTGCTGGGGTTGGATTGGTAGGTAACATGCCAATTTGCCTCATTCGATTCTCCTCAATCGCCGTTTGCATCAGCAGTCGCAGCCGCGATGTTCAGTGCGATGGACTTCCGACTTGGGAAGTCACGTAACATTGACTGCCATCCGCTTAATCGAAGGGCGGCTGGGCGCAGGCCCCAAATAGAAACGAGCAATGTCCACCTGCGATTAGTAAACTACCCCTAAATAAAGCTAAACGTGTTCCCAAACCAAATAATAAACTATCCCTAAATTAAGCTAAATGGGTTCCCCCCCCCAAATTGCTCTGATCCTTTCTTCTTCTTTTTCAGGGGCAAGCTTTCCATTCAAGCTGGCTCATCAAAAAATGATTCCAATTCCATCAGATCCCAAAATTCTTGAGTGATTCCCTTCATCAAATTCTTTATCTGGCAACCTTCAACAATCACAACTTGACCCTACCAGCAAGGCTACCCCCCATGAATCCTCATGCACTAAATAATTCCTGACCCTAAATAAAGCTAAGCTGATTCCCACTGACGCAATACTACTTTAGAATTTGCCCAATTCTAAACTAGTATTCCCCCAAAGCAAAATAACATGCCCAATACTACTTTAGAATTGGCCCAATTCTAAAGTAGTATTCCAAAACCAAAAAAACAGAGCCGAATACTAAACACAATCTAAACTTTTCCTGACCCTGAAATGTTTCTTCTTAACTTTATTTAGGGTCATTCAGGGGGGGGGCCTATTTATTAATCAGAGGTGGACACTAGCATCATGGTAGCGCAGCTTAACTCGATATCCACATGTGCGCGAATTGCCAGAGCTCGATTGTTCATCCCCTGCAATTTTGATGGACACCAAGCAGCGGGCTCCCCAAAACGAGAGTCCTGTACAAATGCGTGTTGTTAAGTTCGATGTTCATTTCCAGGAGAGCACCTCTTCATCATATCATGCAGTAGGTCGGGCACGCCATTGTCCGTGCTGATTCTGTCCCCATCAACTGAACAAACATAAGCCCAACTTATAGCAACGCTTTAGCGACATGAACACAAGGCCAGCGGGCTACTCCAAATGTTGGCAGGAATGTAGCAGGGACCTCATGCCCAGCCGAAAAGCCCCCCGCAAGTAGAACTCATGCAAAAAACAAAAACATGCATCTATGAGGGCGAATTTGGGAGACGACTCTGGCAAAGAGTTCAGGTCATTATCGACACAAAGCTACTACAACAACAAGCAGCAAGAAGGCTGATGGGAGGGTACCCGGAAGATCAATGCTCTTTTCAAAGGGGTCCTTGGCAGGTGCCATGTTCGTGGGGTGGGTACACAGGTGTCCGTACACAGCGCCTCCACATGCCGCTTTGTCTCTTCCAAGCGAGCTTCTGCCTGACCCAAGGCTCAAACAGGACTATGCGGAATGCCTTCCGTGCAGCGTGTATGGCGCACGTGCGCCATGCGGGGCTCTGCCTTATTGGCCTCCTTTACATTAAGCTGGGCTGCTCAAAATGGTTTGGGTTGGCCAATCCTAATCCACAATCCCTATGGGGAAGCCGCTACAAAACGGATTCCTTGCGTAACCCAAGGCAAGGATTACATTTGAACAGCTGGAATTGAGAAGCGGTTCGACCTTCGGATAAACCGGCATGTACCCTCCAAGTCCGAGCCTGCCGCCGTGTCTGGGCGGACTTCTGCTGACAAAAGGTCTGGGAGCGAGGCAGTGGGTTCGCTTGTTCACGGGATGACAGCCAGATCCACTTCCTTGGTGGTTTTGATGGGTGATTTGGGGGGGTGTGTTCCCATCCTTTTACAAAGACCTGGGGCTCAAATCCCCAAATCATCCATCCAATGCCACCTACCAAGGCTTACGTGACCAAAGAAATTGAGCCAACACGCGAGCCAACATGCTCTAGATGAAAACAACAAGCGGGCGTAGTCTTAGAGGGATGCGCTTGACGATATCTGGTTGCCCGTCCTGGGAGGCAAGAATGCCACGTGCCGAGTGCACGTTTGATGACATCCAGATTGCAAAACTGAGGGGATACATACCTGTCCAGCAGCAAACATACAGCATCTCAATTTCCACAGGTCCTACGGCAAGCAACTCCTTTTCAACGCCAAAACCCCAAAGAGGACAGTTCTAAAAGACCTCCCCCCAAAGGACCCGTGTTCCACGTCTCCCCCCCACCCCCCAAAAAAAAAACGAGAAAAAACAAGCTTCGTCAAGCGCATAGGTGGCCTTTTGGAAACATAGATGGCCCTGCTAAATGGAATCAACCCCATTTAAACCAGAGCCATCTACTTTTAACCAAGCTAACCTCAAAAGGACACCAAAAAAAGGGAGACTAAAAGTCACCCGTGTTCCACGTGTCCCCCCCACCCAAAAAAAGAGAAGGAATAAACAACACGCCAAAAGCATCGAAGACGCTTCCGCTTGAGGCCCCGGGCGGCTCGGTGCTTCACCAGCTCCTGGCTCAGCGCCCCCTGGTTCCGCGCCGCCGCCTGCCGCTCCTGGCGCCACGCAGCGCGAACCACGCGTCGCGAACCACGCGTCGCGAAACGCGCGCGCCCGGGTGCGGCCGTCTGGGGCGCAGCCGAAAAGGATTACCCAAGAAAGCTTTGAAGATTGCTGTGCTTCTGTTTTGTGGTGTTTGTTTTCCGCTGCTAAAAGTCGACCACGTTTGGTGGTTTAGCATGGACACTACCACTAAAAACCAAAAACCAAAAAAACTAACTAAGGGGATGGCTGGGAACCACCAAGAACAGTCAAAACTGTTTGTCCAAGACGAAATGAACCCAAAAAGCATGTGCAGAACATGGGGGGCGTGAGGCTATCAAAGAAATAATCTGTTAAGTGACCTGCTTGGGGGAATGTTGGGAGCATTTGAGCGCCAGGGTGAGCGATGCTTGAGCCAAGAAAAACACGATGCCGTCCGGGATCAGGAAGTCTGTTCTAAAAGCAGGCCCTGCAAGTTGCATGTAGTTCCAGAGGTTGATTCCCGATTCTTTTCAACCATCGTTCTTTTCAAAAACCTGCTGTTTCCCCTGAGTTTTTGATCGTTTCCTGAAAGATTCGGATCCCTGGAAAGAATGGAAATGGAAGGTACCCCTAGAGTTTGTGCAAAGCCTTGTTGCCCATGGTGCTGCCACTTCAATTGGAGCGACCATACGCTATAAAATATGTTGTCGTACCCATATCTGGCAAGCAGCAACAAGCGGATTAGGATTTGTGCCAAGGCTTGATTTAAGCAAACACCAAATCACGGAAAGCTATCTACCTTGGTCCCGGAACATTGTTCTACACTCCCGCTGCTGTTGAAAAGGGGGAACATAAGAGTCATGCAATGTGTGAGGCACACCAGCGCCAAGGCGCTGGCGCTGGTGACATGCTCCAACTGAACACCGGCCAAACTTCGCGTGGCTTTTGTTTTTGCGAAAATGAGCGGTTTCTATGTCAACTCTTGCCATCCGCGCCACAGTCAAATGATTCGTCCCCCCGAAGAGCACATGGGAACAAATTCATGCGTCCTGGGATGTTGTGAGTTTTCACCTGGGTCCGCCCATGTTCTCTCCAATTCTTCCATTGGAACAATATAAATATTTCCAGTAGTGATAGGACCCCATTAAAATCAACAGGGGAAAATACAAAATATTCTTAAGCAAATCAAAGCAACTGGACCACTGGGAAAGTTTTTCCCACCGAAAGCCGTCCGAAAGCCCCACGCCCCAACTCCGGGCCCAAGTCTCCTGCTGCAGCTCCTCAACCTGCCGCAAGCCTGAGTCGAACGGCGTGGGTCTTCGAAGGTGAACGATGACAGGCAAGGGCATTGGCTAGCAAGGGTATTAACCAACAAAAAAGGAAACTCAAGACCCTACATATGATATAATATAATGTAATATAATATGATATAATAGTGTGTACATATATATATATATATACACACATATGAGACATATGAGCTAGAATGGTCGGGTGTTCCGACCTCAATCTCCAACCCTGCACCTGCTTTGACTCATTGACTCGTTTTCCCATGTCTCATGCTGTGATCTCAACCACCCATACGTGATGTCACCTTCGCTTTGGGGTACCTCGTTTTGCACCTGCAGTATGTTACCCAGAACATGCTCCCGCCCGGCACTTGAGCTTTTAGCATCAAAGGCTTGGGCTCAGGGAACGCTCAGCACGCTTCATCACGGCACTGCCCGCTATTATGTGGATTTGTGTTCGGGCGTCTATTTCTTGGCGCCGCCTAGACCTTGAATCGCCTGAAATACAGCCAGGACACCAGCCCAGTCAATGATGATTGCCGCACGAGATTTGCGAAGACGGCTTCAAACTCCTTCTGCCTTCGGCTCTGTTTCCGTGTTTTACAATGATGACATGACAGAATGCATCTCGCTTTTTCACGGTTGTGTTGGCTGTGAGCCTTTCTACCTCGCGGATACAATAGGCACTCAGTCCACACTTGTGTGGGGGGGGATAATTTGGGCACACAGCCCTCCGTGCCGAGTCTCTTTGCTAAGCATTGCTCGATCAACACAGTTTCCTTTGGCTGCAATTTGCAGATCGTCCCAATTGATTGGCCATTTGCGATAGAAGGTTCTAAGAGCAAGCTCCCAAAAGCGCTTGGCTTCCCTTTGGTTTGCCTTCAGCGCCAACCAAGGCTTGGGCCCCCCGCTCTGAGCGCAATAATCCTCATGCAGCGCCTTGTGCGCTTCTAGCTTCTCCAGCAAATCCTGTCGAGACGAGGTCCACCGGACGCCAGCGCCAAATTCGCAAGTAGGCAGGAGAATTCAGCATCCAGCCAGAGGCGTGCTGGAGAGTTCACCCAGAACTGGAAACTTAGCAGTTAAGTGGGATGTCCCACTAAACCACAATAAGAACAAGTGTAAAATGTTTCCCAACAACCACCATGTATCGGGGAAACTTAATACAGGCTTTGTTATGTTCCCAAAGGAACCACCTAATCAACTGGCCGCTTCGGAGGTGTCGGGCGGCGCACGCTGGTCCTGTGTTTGCCGCTCCACCTCTTCCACCTTTGCCGCGTAGACAACTTTGGCGTCCTCCAGTGAGAGCTGTGGAGGACGCAATCCGATGGACACTTTGGGCATTTGGTCCCTGAAGCTACTTGAACTGATATGCGTTTGGGCATGCAGGTCGGTGAATATTGGTTTCAGAAAAAACATGTATTCATCCGCAAACAGCTGCACGGGCAATCAACTCACCACTGAATGAAAAGCCATGATGCATGAAAAGCTGTAATAAATGCGAACATATTGCTCGTAACTCCTGCACCAGCTGGGATGGATCAAACCCTATCATTACATTGCAAACTGGGACAAGCCCTAGCTGATTTGTTCCCATCCAAAGTAGTGCCTGTAACAAGAAAGACAAGGACTCAGTGAGCTGTATAGAGTTTGAGCTGCTGCCAATCACACAGCCAGAAGAAAGTCATGCGGCGGAAACAGCAGGGCTGAGCCAACCCTTTGGTCAAACATCTTCAAACCACACGTGATTTTAGGCCAATCTCCTTTTCTGCACAACCTCTTCGTATGGCAGCAACAAACGGACGGTTCTTAAAAAACGAACAGAACAAAAAGAAAAAGAAAAACACACACCTTGCCAATAACCTTGCAAACAAAAGAAGAAACGACACCTTGCGCAAAAACACATAAAAAAGTAGTCCAGTCTCCTTTTGGTTTTCCCTCAGACCAAAAAAAAGTGGTCTCAGGTCTGCAGCTCCTCCCAGCGGCCGTTCAGCTCTTTGAGGCATGCCGCGCACTTCACCTCGCCCCGTTGCGAATTTGGGCTCTCTCACCGAAATGGGTTCGAACAACTGGGTATATAGGCATGAATTTTAAAATGCTGGACATCATTTGGGTGGGGTTTTACGTCCACCAACCACTTTTTCAGGTTTTCCATTCAAATTCATAGCCATATGGCTATGAACTTTTTTAGGGGTCTGTAACGCGCGACGCGGCACGAATCTTGTTACGGAGGTCTGTAACGGAGGTCCTTGTTACGCAGGTCTGTAACGGGAAAAAAATCCTGACAAGCAGAATCAGGAGCGCATCAATGCAAGCCAAGCTGCGGCAAAAAGCAGGGTCGCTCGCTGGACCGGGCTGGGGTTGGGTCTGTAACGAGGTGTGTGACGGCTATGTAACCAGGTCTGTAACGAGGCAAAGCAAAGCGCAGTACGCAAAGCGCGCCTCCGCAGCACCAGCTATTCAACGCAAGCCAAGCTGCGGCAAAAAGGGGGGGCGCTGGCCCGGGCTGGGGTTGGGTCTGTAACGAGGTATGTAACGGCTATGTAACGAGGTCTATAACGAGGCAAAGCAAAGCACAGTGCGCAAAGCGCCTCCGCAGCTCCAGCTTGATTGCAGCTATTCAACACAAGCCAGGCTGCGGCAAAAAGAGGGCAGTCATGTCACTGGCCCGGTTTGTTCATCTGAGGTGTGTAACGAGGGTGTGTAACGAGGGTGTGCCACGAGGGGTGTGTAACGAGGGGTGTGTAACGAGCCAGCTGGTCTTGTTACAGAGGTCTGTAACGAGGTCTGTAACGAATGTCCGCCGCGGCTCTGTTACAGACCCCTCAAAAAAAATCACTGCCATATGTTTTCAAGGCTACCCGTTTAACTCAATTCCTGAGTTGGGCCAAAACAGCCACCAAAGTTTGTATTTAACACTAAAAAGGTCTTCCCAAAAAGTGACTAAAGCCCAGGAACTCGGAAAGTGAGTTGTTGGAGCGGGTTTGAAAGGGAAACAAAGGGGCAACCACAATTTGTTAGGGTCCCCAATGCTTTGACACAGACCCAACCGGGTTCTAGGATGATAGGCACATGATCCTTTGGCGCAAGAGATCGGAACCCCTACGTTCGAACCCGTGAAGTTCTCATGAGCGAACTTGGCCAGACTGGTAGCTCGCCATGGCAGTCAACTCGCCAAGCACATGTTGGCTCAGAGACCCTTTTGGCGTCTGTGAACAAACTGGACTGTTGAAATACCGTGGATGGGCGAAACCATTTCGCACCACTTTGAAACCATGGTTGAGACCCATTGCTTGTTGGTATTTACGTTGGGGAATCGAATCAGACACCAGGCGCTCTGAACGGTGGTGCGAAATGGATTTCGCAACCATCCACGGTATGGCCATGTGTTCTTGGTGAGGCTCAGTGCCCTCTTCCGGGGTGGCTCTGAAGTCCCAGCAAACCGTTCCGCCCGGAAGCTGAGGCATGCGCCCGAACTGCAAATCGGCTGACGCACAATAAAAAACAAGTGGTCTACCCCAAACCAATGCAAATAATTAAAAGGGCGCCAAACCGATTTTTCTGGCTGGGACCGCTTAACCTTTGCTTACTTAGTAGGCTTTGACTTTCAAAGAAAAAACAAATTCTAGAGGTTTCCGGACCCTCAAACTACCACGGTTGCCCTCAACTCCTGGGGTAAATTCCTTTGTTTGGATATAGCTTGCGGCTTCAGTTTCCCTCATTTCGGTTCCCTCATTTCGAGACACACAAAACTCCCCTCGCTCGGATCGTGGCCCAAAGTGACCGAAGAGGCCGGCCTCGAGCTTTGCCAGCTGCTCCTTTGCTTCGACCAGTCGCCTCTGGATGTCTTCCACTTCTAAGCCTCCAGGCAGTTGGATCGCGGTTTGGAGGGTGCTTTGGGGGTGAAATGGAGGGGGGGCCCATGTCTACAAAAGCCATGGACCCCGTTCAAGTCCCAAACCAACTAAGCTGAAAAAAGGGGCACGGCATTCTGAGAGGCCGTCGCGGCGGCTTGGTGGGTTCCGTCAAAAAATAACAAGTGGTTGCATTTTGATGGGTTTTCACCACCCACATTTAGAGCGTATGTTTGAGGAAAAGCAAACATAAGCACCACTTTGAGGATGTGAACCAAAACATGGACAAACATTGGTTGAAACTTGAAGCAAACGAGCCACGGCCATCACGGCCCCTGTTGGAAAAGCATATGACAACATTGGCATATTCCTTCCCTCAACTTTCGGCTTCCATTTCAAAACCGCCAGGGAAACCCCCCCCAACCCGCCAAAAAACCCGAAGATGGTGGCTATTCTAGAAAGAAGGATTTTTGGGTTCAGAATGGAAATGAAAGGTACCCCTAGACTAAGCCACCGTATCCCTTTCTTTCCGCTGTATCCCTAGTGGGTTTCCCTGATTAAACCACCCCGAACCCCCCAACCCGCTAAACAAAAGCCCGAAGACGGTGGCTTGTGGCAGGTCCTTTTGGTTTCCTTCGATCCACGGGCCGCCTGCTCGCTGGCGCGCGGCCAGCGCCGCCTGGTGGCCCCGCTGGGTGACGACCTGGCGACGCCCGGACGGCCGGGCTCGAAGCGTCCATTTGCGGCGCTTGAGGCCACTGGGAAAATAAACCAAAAAAACACGAAGAGGTCCAACCCACTGGAAAAACTAAAAACCCAGCGGAAAAAATGAAACATATGTCCAGCAGTGATAGAGTGTTTCCCTTTAAAACCAACAAGGGAAACCATTTGCTTAAGGTCACTGAAAACAAACATATCTCCTGTAGTAATAAATAATTTCCCTTTAAAAACCAACAAGGGAAGACAAAACACAAACAAAGCAACTTCCTTTCAGCAAATGGAAGCCCTTCAAAGGGCACAACCCCAGCATGAAATGCGACTCGCTCCCTTGACCTTGGAAAAAGGGTGAATGGGCCCGCTGGGACAAAAAAACAGCTGCGTGGTCGGTTCTTGGATGGGTTCCTTTGTGCAACACCTTTTTCAATTCCTTTGTGCAACATCTCCTTAAGTGCAATTGCTCTTGGATGGGTTCCTTTGTTCCTTTTGGATGGATTCCTTCGGTTTTGGATGGATTTTCCTGTGGGAAGTGGAGAGGACAGTCCCGTCTTGTCCACAATGGAAGTGGTTGGGTAAGCCTTCACATGGCAGACTCGCGGGCGTCGGAAGGCCTGAAAGAGGTTTTCTCCACTGCTGTTGGAAACAGGGTTTCCACCATTTCCGTTTTTGGAACCTCCAGTGGCAGTTTCAAGTGAAACCCCAAGTCAATGCAGCGGTTTTAGGGGAAATCTAGTACGACCCCTGTTGGAAAAGTAGGTCGCCACCATGGCCTTCCGAGGGTCAGAAGAGACATTCTTGTGCATCGCACGTCAGAAGCGCCCGAGCTCCAAAATCCAAACATCTAGATGACCCCTCCAGGGCGTCGCCCTGCATGCCTTAGGAGCTTCGCGGCTCCGAGTTCCGTCGCCCCTTTTCCGGGACGCATCCCACACCACCTTGGAAGATGGACACAAACCCGATCTGGGATCGGCATTGTGTTTGTTATTAAAATGAGAATAATTAGTAGTAGTTCTATTCTTATTGTTCTGTTGGCTTGCTTTTTTGCACGAGGCCCGGGGCGGGGGGTGCGGGCTTAGACAGTCCGGGTCTGGCCTCTGTCTTCTCCTGCATCGAAACTTGTGCGTCTTGGTGCGGCTTCTTCTTGCTGTGCTCCTGGCAATGCGTTCCATGCTCGCAATTCTTTGAATGATATGTTGGCCATGGTAACACGGTTCTCTAAGTAAGAAATAAGTTGTCAAAAATCCTTCAGAGGTCCATGACCACCCCTGAGTAAGAGGGTGTTCTGATCACGGTGCAACAGCATGGCGCTTTGGCAAACATGGCTTTACAATGCCTGGCTGCACGTTGCCCTAGGCAATTCATCAATCATCATATGGAAATGGAATAGGATGGGTGACGTATGCATGATCAATCATCAGCAAGCATCTTGCGATGATTTTGCCTGCGGCATGGACCATATTGACATGCGGCATATGCAGTTTAGTCACCCCAATGCATCATCTAACTCATCTACATCAACTCAGCCAATTGAAATCCGCTTAAATGCTCGCGCAACTCAGGCCGGGCTTGCATACTCCGCCGCCTTGGGACTTCAACGGTCAAACGAACCATGGCACAAGGCGGCAAATGGCGCTGACTGTATAGGGGTGTCATTGTTTGACGCTCTGTTTGTGGATATAAAGGGAAACCAACAGGAAACCCACGATTTGGCCCAAACATAATGGGGTTTCTTTTGATGTCATAAAACCAACCCAAAGGGGGGTCCCCTCCCCTCAAAAAGACGGACCCATATCAGATGCTAAGCGCCCTGCCCGCTCGAGCATTGCCTCAAGTTCCTTCTTGCGCTCTCGGAACTCTTCCTGCTTGCGGCTGGGTGAGATGTGCCAAGCTTGGAGGGCTGAATATCTCGAGGGTCCGCCGGTCCGCCCCCAAAAATGTTGAGTTCTTTGCTGTTGTCCTTTAATTCCCAAAGGGGCTCCCCTAACAAAATGAAACCACCACCTTGAAAAAAGACACACCAAAATACATGGCGCAATCCCCTGCTGAGCAAGCAAAGAAAGTGACGATGAACCAAAATGGGTTGGAAATTGCCATCTTGCTCAAGTGCTACACAGCTGGACGCAACTCATTTCAAGGGATTTCAAGTAGAAGCTCCCTCGTTGTGTGTACGCCACGAAGCCTTCGCGCTTGCATGACAATCATGGCACTGTCCCCAACTGCCGCAATGCCAAAGCAAAACCACGCCTGACTGTTGTCTTTCAGCTCTTGCGCCACTCTTTTGATCTGGCCGAGTGGAACATGCCAAGCCGTGCGTTGCTGCAGGCGGTTTTGAAAGGAAGCAAATGTCGACTTGTTGACTGCTTGATTCTAATTTCTAAACCTCCAGTGGCTGATTCAGTGATCATCTGCAGATTTGCAAACCTCCAGAGGATCATCTGCAGATTCGACTGTGATCCTCTTTCCCTCACCTTCCAATTGTCATCCTGCGCTGCTGGCGAATCAGCGGGGAAGCCTACTCCCCTTGGCCGGTGGGTGTGCAAATGCGTGTGCCACAGATGTGCCAACAAATTGGTGGCCAAGGAGACAAGGGCATGTCAAAATTAGGCGACCTATGAAAATGGCTGTGTTCAGCAAAAGGCTACCCCTCTGAATTTGTTCACAACTAAACAAGTCACGTCTGGCCTGGTGTACCATTGACCGATAAACCACTAGCACCACTCCAATCGACACTTCTCGAATGGAAGGCTCCCATCAGGAAATGGCTCTTATGCAATGCGCGGCGCCCTTGTTGGCCTCATTTTGAAGACAACCAGAAGAAAAAGACACAAACAAACAGAAATGGGTGCGTCGTTTTGGTAAGTGTACCCGTGGCCCAGGATATGCCATTTGGGTGTCTTTTTTTTTCAAAGCGGGAGCCCCCCTCCCAAAATAAAGAAGGAATCAACTAGATTGTTTTCCTTTGGGTGTCCCTTTCAAACCGGAAATGGGAGTGGGCGCGCCCCCGGAAGCGCCTGAGAGGCGCAAACCTGTTCTCTGGAAAGGGCTGCCTCGGGCATTCGAACGCGACTCCCACATTTGCCGCTAGCATCCGTAGTCTTCGCGTTGGCACTCAGTCATGATATGGCCATGGTTCAAAACCAATGGTACCATTTTGAGGTGCACCACCCGTTTTAGTCTATTTTAGTGGGGATTGGGATGTTCACTGGGCGTACGGTCTTGACCCATGGCCGTATGGACACTTCAGATGCTCTGTTCCTTGTTTCCAATCTGCAATCCACATTGAGATCCGTTGGAACCATAGATTGAGCACGAAGGGGCCAATTGAACAGTAGAAGAACTAAGGATCGCCCTTTTTGCACCCTGGGATACCCGTTAGGGAAATCACCCGCAAATAACCCCAAACACAACCAAATAACCAGGTGTTATCCGAACATAGGCTAAAATAGGTGTGATTCCCAGACAGGATAGTCCCAACGAAAACTACCAGATGTTCTTCTTCCCAGCACTCATGAGCATCTTCAGCCCAACACTGGTCAGCGTTCACTCCGTCTGCACCATGACAGCTTCTTAACAGGACAAGTGACAAGTAGTCTGTCGATTAAATCGGGTGACTCATGCTGGCAGATCTGCCTGTTCAACTCCAGAGATCAAGGTGATTCACACCCCAAGTACTGCATCCGAAATGTGCGAACCTATATTTGTGGATTTCCTTTTGCCTTGTCTCAAAAAACGGCGACCCTGTCAAAATGTGATTGTTCTTTTTTAAGCAACCGCCCCAAGAAGCACATCGGAACGAGACACATCCATATTTTCACCATCTGACAGCCTTTCGACCCTTCGAGGGCTCCTCCCTCCAATGTTTTGTGGATTCCCTACTGAGAGGCAGACCCCCGGCTGATTGCTTCTCAAAATAGGAGGCCCCCAGATTGGTCTGAACCTTCAAGTTTCCCGTCAAAACCAGAAGGGGGGTGCGCCATTTGGGTATGGGTCAACAAAATCAGCCACCAGCAAACCGCAGGTTTCAGTTTTCTTGGATCCATTTAGGGCACAATGCCATTTGTGGGGTTCCCCTTCCTCCAACTAACATGGCACCTGTGGGGAAGTACCTGAAAGACTCAAAAGGAAATTGAAGGGAGCCCCTGTCAGTTGCCACGTGAATTGGAGGGAGGGTACCCAAATTTGTTGACCCACACCCAATTTCTATTGCCAGCCCCATCCGCTCCAGTGGTCCAGGGCCCGGCGCCGTGATCTCGTGCTCTTGCACCTTGAGCTCCCGCTCTGCCGCAGCGATCCGCGAAGCCCCGGCCTCGGATGCGCAGCGAACAGGAAGCCCGCGTTGGGCTTCATTGGGCCATGGGTCAAAACCCAAAGCGTAGCCCCAGTGAACATTAAAAAACACACACACACACACAAAAAAAAAGGTTCTAAAATGGGTGGTGAATTCACCTACCCCAAAATGGGATCCCATTGGTTTTGACCCACAGCCAAATGACGCGATGCGATGCTGGACTGAACAATGGGCCCTTCATGCAACGCGCCGTGGCAATTGACACCTAAAGCTCCGAAAAGATTGGAACACTCCCTGGACTCCCGGCATTCAATCAAAAACACAAACAAAGACCTGCTTGAGTTGAGGAAACTTCTAGGTTACATAGCTGCGATACTGTGCATTGAGCAAGCCTTGCATCACTTGGTATGTGGTTTCATCCATTCCAACTGGTGCAGGATTTGTCAATCCATAGTAGTAGTGGCGGCCGTGGTGGTGGTGGTGGTCGTAGTAGGTGTAGTAGTAGTAGCAGTAGTAGTAGTAGTAGCAGCAGCAGTAGTAGTAGTCGTCGTCGTCGTGGTCATTACTACTGCTACTACTACCACTGCTACTGCTACTGCTACTGCTACTGCTTCTGCTACTGCTACTGCTACTACTGCTGCTACTACTTCTGCTGCTACTTCTGCTGCTACTACTACTACCAGTTCAAAATCATCGCTGAACTTGGGAGCCACCCTCTCTCTTGGGAGCTTTGGTTCACTGCCAAACCAAAAGTGTTTAGAACCTCAACTTTTGGGGCATTCCAAGAAACGCGCCATGACAGAAAGGCGCCTGAATGCTGCGCTCGATGTCGCGAGTCATCCTCATCTTCTCTTCGGCAGCTTTCGCCTCTGCCTGATATGGATCATGCCAAGGCGCGCGTGATGCGATTGCACGGACTGGGCCATTTTGTCAGACCCCGGGCCCCTGTGCTCTTCAAAGGGAAACGGAGAAATGGTGGATCAAACCACAGGGCCGTTCCTTAAAATAGGAGATTGAACCCATTTCGAAATAGAACGAGGATTTCTCCTTGTGGCCTCGCTGTAACCAACAGAAGGGAGATCCGCCATTCTGAGAAGCTCTGTGGGTCAAACATGTTGACACAAGACCCAAACCCTGCTCAGAGTTCACAAAGGACGTTTATTCCTGAGGAGGGCGAGTGACTACTTTGTGCTTGGTAATTGGAAAGCCTGTAGTGGCCATCATTTGCGGATTTGTGTCCACCAGCCACTATTGAGGTGGTTCCCTAGGCTGCCAGAAACTAACATTAACCGGAAGCTGCCAAAAGGGCATCTGGTTAGTACTGTAGTTGCCAATCAATGAACACACCTTCACTTTTGTGGCCAAGGTGAGTTGGCAAGCTTCATGATGTTTGTGACAGCATGCTAGAACTGAGTAAAAGCCACGTCATGTGCTACGTGCTGCCTCCGCAAATGTCCGCAACATAAGCCTCCATGAGTCAACACACACAGAGACGCGGAGACAGACACAGAGACAAACACAGAGACGCAACCACGGACACAGACACAGACACGGACACAGACACAGAGACAGATACGGACAGACACAGACACAAAGACACAAAGACAAACACACACACACACACAGATAACGGCTCCTCAAAGCCCCGCCACCAGTTGCATAGCTTCCTTGAAGGGTGTTTGCAACACCCCCGAACCTCTGGCCCTCCTGCCATTGAACTGAACACAGCACTCTTCACCATGCGCGGGGCGCGCGCCATCTTCATTTGAGCTTTGGCTTGGTCTCCAGCTCTGGTAACGTTGTTCACCTCGCACGGCAGCACCAACTACTTGTAGAAGTCAACAAGCCGTTTTCGGCAAAATCCAAACTTCCACAAAAGCCATTCCAAGAAACCCCCCAAAAAAGAACAAGTTCCCCGCAACAGATAGGCGAAGCATCGTTGTAACTACGTTGCTTTCTGCCCCCTGCTAAAAGTTTAACATTCAGTGGTTTAATGGAAAACTCACTAGTTGACAAAAAGTTAAAGTCTTAACATCCTAGCAAAATGCACCAAAGGTGATGTTCAATGTGTTGAAGATAATGGCTTTGACAAAGCAGGCTCTTGGCTCGCACCAGTGGCGAATCCTCAGGGCCCTGCCACATGGCGTTGACAGAATATGTTCATGCCCAGACAGCCACGTGTCAGCAAAAAAATACATGTGTTTATATATAATTTTATATATATGCATATGTGTACATATATGCACATATATATATATATATATATAATGTGTAGTCATCAGGAAGTTGCAAACGTGAAGCTCAAAAGGACAACATGTATGCAAGCAATTGTGCTGGAGAGTCTAGTGCGATGCTACAAACTGGCTCGAAGGGAAGACAAAGGGAAACAAGCCCTTTTTTGGGGTCCCTCAATTTCCCTTTTTGCGACCTCCAAAAGTGGCAATTCTGTTGGAACCCACCGGTTTTGTTGCAACTTTTGATTTGTGGAAATCCAGTAACCCAACCAAGCCCTTCTTGGGGATCCTTACATTATACACATGAACATTGCCTTGTAAATGGTGGTTTCCCTTTATTTTGGTGGCAAAAGCCATGTTTCAAATGTGCAAATGTTTTTTTTAAGGAGCCCTGCTTTTTGGGATTGGGTCAACGAAAGGCAAAGGAAAACACACCATTTTTTGGGGTACCCAAATACATTCCAACCCTGGGCTGTCCGTTTTCTGATCTGCTAAGACGTTTAACTTGTGGGCTCCGCGGAAAACCCCAAACCGACTAAAACCCGAAATTTTTATGGAACTCAACCGAGTTCGAAACCCAGAAATCATGGCCGTATTGCGCCTGAATCTGACCCGTACGGGCTGCTTGATGAGCTCTGGTCTCCAGCTGCTTCTGCTGCTGCCTCCGTTGCGAGAAACGGCTTTTCCATGGGAACTGACCAGAAGACTGTCTTAAGGACTTTGGTTTTGGAAGACGGTCTTAAAGAAGGCCCCATGGTTCTTTATTCCATGATTGTTGGCCAAAGCATAGCGCAAACTACAAGCATCCCCCTTTGGAATTCAGGGTGACACTTTGAACGGCCATCTTATACTCTTATAGAAGGTCAAAAAGGCGAAAGCGAATCAACCAGCAGATCTTACACTACAATAAGGGATCCCACATGAATGATACCTCCGCGTGTTGCTAGAAAAATTGGTACATAGAATACTGGGCCGACTGGTGCACACAGAACAGAACAGGCTCTGCTTATGTTTCATGTTTAGTCAACCCAATCTGGGCTGTTCAAAATGCCGGGTTGGCCAATTCTCGTCCACAATCCCCATAGCCAATACAAAGGGGACTTTTTCATAACCCTTGGGTAAGGCTTTTTCGGATTGCCTCTGAACCGCCCAGCCAATCTCTGGGCCCCCGGCTTTGTCAAACCAAGCTCCTGCTGCTTCGAGTCTTGGAGCAACCTGAGCCGTTTTCTCGACACGGGTTTTGTCCGGTGCCAAATTGGCATACCACAGACCTGACTACCCTCTAAACATGGAAAAGCACTGACTCCCTTTCAAAAAAGGACCGCAGTCGTCCAATTTTTGGATCTCTGCACTCGTATGGTAGAGAAGAACAAAGGGCGAGCTTCAGGCACAATCCAGCCCATGTGGCTCTTCAGCAGCATTCGAGGAGAATCGCAAAGAGTGACACCAACTATGACTCTGACCTTTTTAAACGGCTGTGGGTCAAAAATGGGTGCCCAAAATGGAGCCCTGGTAAATGGAAACATGGACTAAAACCTGTGGTCCCCCTGCTGGCTTAGCTTTGACCCACACCCAAATGTCTCCATGATTTCGGTGACCCCTCGGAGGGGAAGGAAGGCAACACCTACATGTTCCATGCGCACATGAAGCAAACAAAAGCTTCTGGCAGGCCTCGGGTCAAACTCGCACACACCCACCAGCCACCTCCTGGTGTGTTTTGGTCAGAGCGAACCAACACGTGCAGTGAGCCCAAATCAACCCACGTCGGCTCCTTGGGTATGGCAAAGCGAAGCAAGATTACATGAGTACCAGCCGGGGCCTTGTCCCACGAGGATGGATTCAAACACGGCAGCACGTGTGTTGATTGACTCACGCGCACGACAAAAGCTGCATAACATAGATGATGCATTACTCCGGCCTAGACCCATGTAGTACACATACAGTGGAATGTGGACAGTGTATAATATCTTTATATATGTATGCATATTACACTCCTTTGTTAGTAGGAATCCACTTTCGTGGGTGACTCCCCCTATTAGAATGGGGCTATTAATCCGGGGCTTACACAATCGATATGGAAGCAAAACTGCTGACCCACATCATGCGCCTGGCGGGATGCATTCACCAGCATTCTACTCGTGTGTTCTAGAACCTGCGGATTGAGGGGTTGGGGGGACCCTGTGGATGAGCTCCCACCCCATCCCACCTCTTGCCTACGCATCTAGGTCTATTTGAGCCACGGTGGCATTCGAACCCTATAAGATGGCAAACCCAAGACCTCCCAGGAACAAAATCCCACAACGGGCGGAACTCCGCACCTCCTTGGATTGTCCTGCATTCGGTACAAATAAGTGGATATGGCGAAAAGCCAGCTGAACGGCAACCATGGATTTGGCTTAAGGTGGTTACTTCACTTGCCCAAAGGACCTGGAAATCAAAAGGTTCATCTTTCGAACTTTACTTTAAATGGACCAACAAGGGAAAACCAAAAAATTCAACAGGTCCGCTTTGGGCAACTGAGTTACCAATCCCTCACCTCACCTATTCCGGCTCCAATGATCTGAGGCTGCAGCTTGTGGCTCTTCTGCACACGCTCCGTGGCGATGTCCTCCATCACCGCCTCACGCACTAAGGTCCGTCGGTGAAACCATAAAATACAAAACAACAGTTTTCTGCAGTCGGAGAATCTCAAAGAAGACTTTGTTTGTTTTAATGAAGCGTTATTCGCGTCGCTGTGCCATTCGACTGCCGTTTGGCCTTCCTTTAGATTTTGAAGGGCAGGGAGCTTCAACCTTTTTGGTGACTGGGCATCTAAGCCGAAGCAGTTAGACCAAAGTGGTGCTCTTCTGCTTCCCAACCAACGGCAAATGGAGTGCCCAAACCCACGAGATCTGAGATGATGTTCTACCAACATCACAAGGTTTATACAAACACCCCAAAACAAAAACCTGGCAGTAAACCAACAGTTCGTGGTTTACTGCCAGAATTTGATTGGGTTTTAGTATGTCAACTACAATGGCCAAGGGTTTTGCGCTCAATTCTGATGAATATCACTCGTGAAAGCCCTGAGCTGGGCTCAGCTCTCGCTCAACGGTCCGCACTGCCAATATCAGGGGCCCTCGCAACCCTGCGAGCAGCAACCTCACGGATGCTATCCAAGCACTCCTTGTCCTGAGCACAGACTGGGGTTCCCCTGTCAAAATTTGGCCCAAGTTGTTGCAAGGCCATGGAGCCTTGTGGCACCAAATTTGCCGATCTTGGCCAATGTGCCCATGGCCATGCAAAGACACACACACACACATCCATCTGGTTGTGAGCTTGAAGCTTGATTGCCAGCCCTCATGCAACCTGCCACGCCCAACATGAAACAAGCTGCAAAGCGAGTTCAAGGCAGTTCTGCGCAAACATGGCTGCCTTCAGGTCTTGGGTATTGCTCTGGGCTCGGCTGTGGCAACAAATCAACGTCTCCTTCTGGATACTTTGCTCCGTCTGCCGCTCGGTGATGTCTGCGTGTGCCTGCATCGGGGCACATGCCTTGCCACAATATGATCTCCTCAAGTGGCGTCATAAACATCTTTATCATGGGACAACAATGGGATCATGGTTGACCTTCGAAAACTACTTTTGGTGACCTGATCTGAACCTCATCAAGAAACAGAAACGATTTTACAGCAGACACTTGGTTTCGGGGCGTGACTCGGAATGAACAAATATTCGCTCACTCTCCCAACGCGGCTTTCAACAGCTGTGCTGAATCCTCCCCGCGCCTCCCACTGATCCGTGTGCTGCCGCCTCGGTACACATAGAACATATCTGCTTCGCACCACTCATGGAATTCCATAAATACAAACTAGTGCAGATGTTGTTTACAGAAAGCAAAGACATTCAAGTCACCCTGACTCGAAAGCAAAGCCTAAAACTTCCACTCAGCAAGCGTGAAAAACACACAAAAACAGGCCAGCATAGAGAGACTCGGTTGCTGCCAAAATAATGGATGACATGCTCTGCAACATCTCCAACGCAAGTAGCAACGCTGGGATTCTCCTGTAGGTCTGTTGTGTCCGGTAGTCTTGCGGAAACATTCTCCCTTTTGGATCATGGGAGCCGATTAGCGCATGTACGAGTGGGCTCCTGGTACTACCCAAATGAACTCAACATGAACCCAAAACAGGGATCCCAAAAGAGATGCCTCTAAAAGTCATCGTTGTTGGCGCTCCATATATTGGGGGAGGGGTATGTAGTGAAACCCTGTTTTCTGATGCTTCCAAAAATGAGCTTCTCAGCTTCATATGATAATTTGCAGGGGGGGGGGTCAAATGTAGGTATGCAGTGAAACCCTGCTATGTCCAGCGATTTGCCCGGGTTGTGTGGCTTTGGTTGGCTCCCTTGCCAAATTGAGGGATGCGTTCGAATACCCCGGGCGCCCCTGCGCGGTAAGAGCGCGCTGCCCAGCCCGCGCTAAGGCCTTGGATGCGTCTCCAGGGGGGGGCAAATTGCCATAGGTGTGGAATTCATCTCTGCTTAGCCCAAAAAGTTAGTCAAACCAACCTAAAAAGGACACCTATGAAAAGTACCCTTGTCACCTTAGTTGCAAGGGAAACCAAAAGGACGACCGCCCGTTTTGGTGGTCCGAATCAAAAAGGACGCATGCCCGCATGAACGGCAAACCGTTTTGGTTGCAGATTTCGCCACTTGCAATGGTCTGTTGAAATTTGCAGTAGAAGCAATACTGGGTCCTGAGTGACATCCTCGATACCTCTAAATTTCCACATGGCAAGGGACACCTCAGGAATTGTTCGAGAACCCCCATGGGAGTGTCTTTTTGTTCATGGTCCCCCTTTTAGTATGTCTGTTGGCTTGAAAGGGAACCAAAAGGAAACCGTTGCTGTTTTGGGGGTTCCCGCAAAAAAACTCATACAAGCCTACATGTTCAAAACGCTCGTCGCTTGGTTTCGCTTGGGCTCCCGGCATTGTGACTGGCATCGATGCTATGAAAGGCTTTGGCCTATCGGGGATGGATTCGGGTGAGGTGAGTTAGCCATGGGAAGCCAAGCGATAGTAAAGTCCAAGTGCATAACTCAGTTGCTCCGGATAGAACCTGGGAAAAGCTTGGCATTGGATACTAGGTCCTCCATAGAGAGAATAAGGGTACCCTTTTTCCGTAGTCTATTTTAGTAGGGGAACCCACTACTGGGCCACCTAGGATAGCCTTGTTAATTAAGATGCTAACCGCTTAAGACCCTGCCCCTTATGACTCTTGGAAACAAACCAAAAAACGCGTTCTAAGGAATGTGACATGTTTCAACAGGACCGTCAGTGTAATCCAATTGGCTTGCTCAGCTTCAAGAGGTTACCGCACTGTATCTGCAAGTTTTGTTGGGCCAAGAGCTAATGAGTCATATTTAACACCTCGCATTTAAATACTCCCCCAGAACCATGCAAAGCATTTAAGAGGCGGCTGCATTTGTGGTTGGGAGTATTCCTTACTAACCTTCACCTACTGGGGTTTTGATTGTGGCTCAAATGGCTACGGGGCGTCATGCTGCGGAGATGCCATGAAATTACCCGTACAGCCTGTTCAAAGTTTTGTGGTAGTAATGTAGCAAGGATCGAGTCGTCCAAAAATGAAACTGGGGAATTTGTACTTATTTTTATATACATAGAATGTCGAATCAAGAACTGCCACACTCGCACAAGCCAAGGAAAACATTAAACTTATATACCTGAAACTGCTTGAAACCAAAGACTGACTTACCATCATAAAAGGATCCTTTACAAGATACGGGGGTGCCAATCATCTCACCGAAGGTGCGAGTAGCTTCTAGGGCGATCATCTCGAAGCTGCATGCAACCATGTCCAATACGATACCCTGCGCCAAATTTCCACTGCTAATCAGTTTACCCTCGTTTTCCCATCTGCCATATTACGGGTAACTGTGGCTTGTCACAATAGGATTGGATCGGTTCAAAAAAGATCCAAGCTTTTCTTTGCCACTCAAATGGTCCAGCCCAAAAAAGTGACGAAAGTCCATGAACTCAGGTTTAACTTGTAGGTTGAATATGGAAACCCAACCACTAAACCAACTAAAAACCACTAAAAACCACAAAAACCCCAAAAACCAAAACCAACTAACAGCCAACTAAAGACTACCTTCAACAACACTCAACACCACGAAAAACCGTTAAATAGCCCTAAGGAACCGGATGGCTGGGAATCCCAAGTTTGGGTTCCCTCAGACCCGCCACCCCCCCCCCCCCCGCCCCCCCCCCTCGGAAAAAACGAGAAGGACCTCCCGGACCCAACTCGATCCTCGGCAGCACGGAGCTGGCTGTGCACCTTGCGCCGCACCTGCTTGCTGGGTTTTGGGTGGCTCCTCGGGCTTTTGGAGGCACCTCTTTTTTGGGGTTGGCTTTAAAGGGTTTTTGGGGTTGGCGTATTTCAAGTTCGTACCCCTTGTTTTGTGGCAAAGGGAAAGCGAAAGGACAACTAACCCACCCATTTTAGGGGGGATCTGATTCCTGTAAGATGAAACAGTGACTATCCGAGGGCATGTTCATATTGAGAACATCCTGAGCTCTTGCGGAAATCACATCCTGGGTTGAAGTCTACCGGGTAATCAGAAAGAAAAAAGAACATGAACATGCTTCTGGGTCAACTGTAAGGCCAGGCTCGTCTGGAATCTGCACAAAGGGACCATCGCACTTTTACACATGGATTCATACTGTGGATACCAAATCAACTAGTGGAAACTGTGGATACCTTTGTGTTCAGCCAAGTTAGTAATGTGGATGGGCAAAGTCCATTTCACTGCAGCTGCGAAGGGTGAACACCTATGACAACAGGTTGATAACCAGCCGCAAGCTGGTTGGCAACTCCTCGAACGCATGGCTTTTCAGATCTCTGATTGAATAGAGACTGCACATCACAGGGTCCATCACCAGATTATGTTGCACCCCCCTTGCTTTCAGCCTTGCAGCGCTTTTCTACCTGGACATTTAGCTTGCTGGTACTGACGCTGTTGCAGCGGCGCGTGCCTGTGTGTTGACGATTCCTTTGCCAGTCGCTCCGGCAAAGCATCTCAGATACTGAAAGTTGAATCATCAAAAAACGCAGCATGTTAGTTCAATCAACACGGCCTTGCGAACCACAAGGCGGCAGCTTTCCGCGAGCGCCGCCTGCTTCATTTCATCCAGCACGCGCTTGCTGGCAGCTCGATCCTCATGAGCCTGGCAGTGGTTCAACTGTTTCGTTAGGACATAACATAGGGAAAGAGAGCTCAAGTCAATAGTCTAAGAATGGCTTGTCTCAACTTGTCCAATATGGCTGTACGAAACGACAAGCCTTCAGGTTGTCCTAAGTCAGCCCTTTTTCAAGGTGTGCTGCTTGAGTCACACATGTCCCAACTGTCCTGTGAATATCCCATCCTAAGGTCAATCAACCTTATTCAAGCCATGACTTTTCTGCAGCGCGCATTTGATTTGGGCGGGCCAAATCAAAAAAAGCTTGCGCCATGCTGCCGTCAATCAAATGGAGCTAAAATAACTCTTTACCAAAAACGGCTGAAATGGCACTTCACATCGAACCTCAAGAGTAGAACTGTGCCCTGGTGTCATCCATTCGCAGCAACTGCTCAGCCAAATCCTTGCAAACAAAAGGTACCAAGATTACAGTGGGCCACAAACATGGTATGTGTCCTGTTGGTTTCACTTTGAATCAAGGGCAAAGGTGTCGGGATGCTTTGACAGAAACCACGACATTAAATGGAAATGGTCTTTGAAACAAATGATGGAGCATGGGGAATGAACCCCTGACCAGCAATATTGGCAGCACTTTCCACGGCTAAATTTATTGCAACCACGAATGGCAAGGAAGCAAAATGACATGACGGGACCCAGGCGTTCTCTGGATTTGCTGCCCTACTGCGTATCCCAGTGCAATATCTCCCCCTTCCTTTGGTTGGAACAATCCAGCTGTGCGTGAGTAGAACCAATCCTATAGTCAGGTTGCCGCCTGGACTTATATCTTTGGGTGGTACTTCTTTGTTTGGTGGTCTTAAAGGAACACCAACAAGGGACAACCAAAATCCATTTTGAAGATCCGCTCCGATTCCTTCCAAAAGAGAGACGGCGAGCTGGACACCGCTGGCGCTTTTCAAGATGGGACTGTCATCCCATGCCGAAGGTTGTCATGACGCACAAAGGAAATCTGACGGATTTGGGTATCTTCTTTTGAGGCTGGGCATCCTTTGTGGGAAAAAAAGTGAGATGCCATCACCTTGGCTCACCTCGGCTCCGCCCGCTGGCCTTCTGAGTTTGCTCTACGTGGAGCTCTCGAAGCTTTTGGTCCTCCGAGTGCTTGGCCTTCTCCAATTCCTGCGGCGATGAACCATATGGCTCCTTAGCTATAGGGTCCTTGGTTGCCTTTCTGCTCCCCTGCTAAAAGTGACTAACCTTTAGTGGTCTAATTCGGAAAACCCATTAGTTAGCAAAAAGTTAAAGTCCTAACATCCAACAGATGGCACTAGACCCTGGTCAAGGGGATCATAAACGGAGGTGCCGTCTGCTACCCTGACAATGGTTGTCCAAATGCTATGGGATGACCTCCTCGATCTAAAGGCGATAGGCAGAGAATGACCCCGACAAAACCCGAAACAAACTGGTGGGGTGCTTGCGATAGGGGAATGAGACATCGAAGGACCCCGAGAAAAAAACCCATTGCTCTGGTGGTTTTCTTTAAGGGGACCTGGAAGCAAATTTCCCCACACCCGGAAGGTCATTCCCTGCTGAGCACCAGAACAAAAGGTGCCGTGCTGAAGAAAGTACCAGTTAGTATCAAACAGTCATATGCTCACAGGTTTTTGGTCAACATTCATGCTTGTTCAAGGAATGCGTCGCTTAGTAATCAAAAGCAAGCCTGCATCTCACATCTTCTCACCATGAACACCATGCCACCAACCAATGTGAAATCGACATATAGCTGATGATACGCAACGAGCACACAGCCTCCCACGGACATTCACTTGTGCCAGTCACACTTACAAGCACACGCACTCACACACAAACACATGCAGGCTTTCCATTAAAGTCCAAAATTGTGAGCAAAGGTGTCACCAAAGCACCCCAGAAAACAAGCAGCTTTCTTTAGTATTCCCCCAAAGGTTTAAGGTTGATTTTGAAGGAGTGTGAATCGCTCCTTTGGGATGGCCTACAAGTCTTTAATGCGCTCAATGTTTTTGCTCAAAGCAAACTCGTTGGAACCCACGATAAAGAGGCGATTCCACTCGCTTTGTGCCATCGACCTGCTCTTTGATAGCGCGCATGCGGGGTTGGCAGTCTGACGCCAATGGAAGTTTGTATGTCGGAGAGCAACACATGCGTTGTCGCCTGGTCGAGTCTTAGCTGTTTGAATCCAAAGACGCAGTGTTGTTCACTTAGAAAGCATGGCGCTATCTACTTTTACCCAAGAAGCATGTGGTTGCGATTGTTCAAGCTGATCTGCATTGCAACAACCAGGACGTCCACACGTAGCGCCAACAGATCAATTAAAGCACTACAACAGAATACACAAAATGAGCCTGTCAGGACTCATAGCCCTTGCGTACGCGTATGGTTTATCAATTCTTGTAACTGAGCGGGTGGATCAACAAAGGCAAAACCCAACAACAAGGGAGCAGTCTGTCAATACGCGACGCATCAATGCCCATTGCAGCTTCTCTGTGAGCCTTCCTTTCTGTTTGGTCTCAAAGGGTCATCAGAAGAAAATATCAGAACCCGTTCCTTGGGCTGACGTGCCTTTCATTCCAGCTCGAAAAGCGGATCCCCGCCAATCCGTCTTGAAAAGGGGGCCGTGATGAAGGTTGTCTTGGGGATCCGCTTTTCGAGCTGGAATCCGGCATTCCAGCTCGAAAAGCGGATCCCCGGAAAGGGGGCCGTGATGAAGGTTGTCTTGGGGATCCGCTTTTCGAGCTGGAATCCGGCATTCCAGCTCGAAAAGCGGATCCCCAGGCCAATCCCTCCTGAAAAGGGGGCCGTGATGAAGGTTGTCTTGGGGATCCGCTTTTCGAGCTGGAATCCGGCATTCCAGCTCGAAAAGCGGATCCCCGGCCAATCCCTCCTGAAAGGGGGCCGTGATGAAGGTTGTCTTGGGGATCCGCTTTTCGAGCTGGAATCCGGCATTCCAGCTCGAAAAGCGGATCCCCGGCCAATCCCTCCTGAAAGGGGGCCGTGATGAAGGTTGTCTTGGGGATCCGCTTTTCGAGCTGGAATCCGGCATTCCAGCTCGAAAAGCGGATCCCCGGCCAATCCCTCCTGAAAGGGGGCCGTGGTGAAGGTTGTCTTGGGGATCCGCTTTTCGAAAGGCCTGAAAGCCTAGAAAAGGAGCTTAGAAAGGAGCCTTAGAAAGAACCCTTAGAAAGGAGCCCTAGAAAGGAGCCTTAGAAAGGAGCCCTAGAAAGGAGCCCTAGAAAGGAGCCTTAGGAAAGGAGCCTTAGAAAGGAGTCCTAGAAAGGAGCCTTAGAAAGGAGCCTTAGAAAGGAGCTTGAGAAAGGAGTCTTAGAAAGGAGCCAATTGGAAAGGAGCCTTAGAAATGAGCAAAAGAAAGGGAGCCAAAGAAAGGAGCCTTAGAAAGGAGCCCTAGAAAGGAGCCTTAGAAAGAAGCCCTAGAAAGGAGCCTTGGAAAGGAAGCCTTAGAAAGGAGCCTTAGAAAGGAGCCTTAGAAAGGAGCCTTAGAAGACTGAAAAGGGCAGTGAAAGCTGACCTGAAAGGAGCCCTGAAAGAGGCGTTGGAGCCATGAAGGGCCTGGGGGCCCTGAAAGGCCTGAAAGACTGACTGAAAAAGAAATAGGTGAAAGGGCAAGTAGAAAGGAGCCGTGAGAAGAGACTAGGAGTAGGAACCTGGCAACAGAAAGGAGCCCTGAAAAGACCAAAGAAAAAGCCAAAGAAAAAGCAAAGAAGAGACAGTACAAAGGGCAATAGAAAGAACCATAGAAAGGAGCCTTAAGAAACAGGCCTTAGAAGAGGCATAGAAAGGAGCCCTAGAAAGGAGCCCTAGAAAGGAGCCTTAGAAAAAAGCCGTAGAAAGGAGCCGTAGAAAGGAGCCGTAGAAAGGAGCCTTAGAAATTAGAAAGGAGCCTTAGAAAGGAGCCTTAGAAAGGAGCCTTAGAAAGGAGCCTTAGAAAGGAGCCCTAGAAAGGAGCCCTAGAAAGGAGCCTTAGAAAGGAGCCTTGGAAAGGAGCCTTAGAAAGGAGTCCTAGAAAGGAGCCCTAGAAAGGAGCCCTAGAAAGGAGCCTTAGAAAGGAGCCTTAGAAAGGAGCCCTAGAAAGAACCTTAGAAAGGAGCCTTAGAAAGGAGCCCTAGAAAGGAGCCCTAGAAAGGAGCCCTAGAAAGGAGCTCTAGAAAGGAGCCTTAGAAAGGAGCCTTAGAAAGGAGCCTTAGAAAGGAGCCTTAGAAAGCAGCCCTAGAAATGAGCCTTAGAAAGGAGCCTTAGAAAGGAGAAGCCTTAGAAAGGATGAGCTTTGGAAAGGAGGAGCCTTAGAAAGGAAGAGCCTTAGAAAGGAGCCAAAGAAAGGAGCCTTAGAAAGGAGCCTTAGAAAGGAGCCTTAGAAAGGAGCCAAAGAAAAAAGCCAAAGAAAGGAGCCTTTGAAAGGAGCCTTAGAAAAGAGCCTTAGAAAGGAGCCTTAGAAAGGAGCCTTAGAAAGGAGCCCTAGAAAGGAGCCCTAGAAAGGAGCCTTAGAAAGGAGCCCTAGAAAGGAGCCTTAGAAAGGAGCCTTAGAAAGGAGCCTTAGAAAGGAGCCTTAGCCTTAGAAAGAAAGGAGCCCAAGAAAGGAGCCCTAGAAAGGAGCCTTAGAACATAGAGGAGCCTTAAAGGGCGGCGGAAAGGGAGCCAAAGCCTTTAGAAAGGGCCTTGAAAGGAGCCTGAAAGGAGCCATAGAAAGGAGCCATAAGAAAGACCCTAGTCCAGACCTTTGAAAGGGCAACGGGTTCAGCTGATAAGAGGGCAACTAGAACACAACCTTTGAAAGGAGCCTTAGAAAGGAGCCTTTGGAAAGGAGCCTTTGAAAGCTGAAAGGGCAGCAGAAAGGAGCCTGAAAGCCACCTAGAAAGGGCCTTTAGAAAGGAGCCTGAACGAAGGAGGAGCACCAGGATCATGAAGGGCGGCACAGGAGCCTTTAGAGGGGCTAAGCAATGACAGAAAGGGCCCTCAGGGAGCCCAGATGAAAGGGGCCGCGAAAGGGCGCGAAAGGGGCCATGAAAGGAGCAGCAGAAAGAACAGCTGAAAGGGGCGGTAGAAACAGGCCCTGAAAGGGCCCGCGAAAGATATAGAGGAGCCATAGAAAGGGCGTTCAGAAAGAGACCCTAGAAAGGAGCCACCAGAAAGAGACGCTGAAAGGAGCGGTGAGAAGGAGCCTTAGAAAGGGGCGGAAAGGAGCGGCAGGCCGATTTGGAAGGAGCCATGAAAGGAGCCATAGAAAGGAGCGTGAAAGGGCGAAGAAGAACTAGGAAAGAGGTTCTGAAAGGAGCCTTGAAAGGAGCCCTGCAAGGAGCCCATAGAAAGGAGCCCTAGAAAGGAGGAAACAGAAAGGGCCTGGGAGCCCATGAAAGGGCCCTAGGGCAGCACAGAAAGGAGCCCTAGAAGGGATTCTGAAAGGAGCGTGAGCCTTAGAAAGGGCCTTAGAAAGGGAGCCTTTGGAAAGGGCGGCACGAAGGAGCCTTAGAAGGGAGCCTTGAAGGAGCCCTGGAAAGGGCCATAAGAAAGGGCCAGCAGAAAGGAGCCTTTGGAAAGGGCAGCGAAAGGAATCTAGGAAAGGAGCCCATAGAAGAACTGAAAGGAGCCTTAGAAAGGAGCCCTAGAAAGCCTAGAAAGGAGCCCTAGAAAGGAGCCCTAGAAAGGAGCCCTAGAAAGGAGCCTTAGAAAGGAGCCTTAGAAAGGAGCCTTAGAAAGGAGCCTTAGAAAGGAGCCTTAGAAAGGAAGGAGCTTCCTACCCCTATACTTTTCCGCGTGTAGTGGCTTCACTTCCGTAAGCAGTGACAGTTTCACTTCCGTAAGCAGTGACACCTTTTCCGCTCAGAGTGATCATGATTCCGCAAGATGTGACAAGTCTTAGCCCGCACAACGGGTCCTCTAACTGGTACATCTTCTATGGTTGTCAAGGGCCCCCCAATAATAGGGCGCCCCCCAATCCCAATAGGGGCTTTCTTGCGAATACGGCATGTTAGTCGCTTTTGGGGGGTTCCCCTCTTTGGGGGGGCCCAAAGATTTCCTGCACCCAAGAACCCGCTGGATTTTTTGGGATTCCACTGCACATTCCAACAAACTGGTCCCGTTTTTTTGGTTTTTCGCGGTGCGATTTTTTGGATTTCCTCCATCCATCCACAGAATCTCAATAAACAAGGCTGACTATGTACATAAAAGAGGTCGATCAAAGAGAACTTTAGGCCCCTCTTTGTGGGGCGAATCCCTGACGGAACCATAGGAACTGATGATTCCCTAAAACTATCAACAATCAATGGTTTCCCATGGTTTCAACTTGGTGCGAGAAGCGGATTTCGCAGCCTTCCACAGTTCTAGAGCACACTTCCCCATTCTTTCCAGGGATCATTCTTTCCAGAAAACCATCAGAACCCCAGGGGAAACAGCGATCGGTTTTTGAAAAGAACGATGGTTGAAAAGAATGGAAAAGGAATGAACCCCTAGAAACATGGTGGGTCAAAATTAAACCAGGGGACCAGGTGTTGGTTCATGTCCACTTACCAGGGTTCCATTTGTTTTGCGGTTCATACCGGTACTAGATCAAGCCCCTAGATTAATCCTTGCCTTGGCTTACGCCAAGAATCCGTTTTGTAGTGGCTTCCCTATAGGGATTGTCAGATTGTGGATTAGGATTGGCCACCCTTCCATTTTGAACAGCCCAGCCAAATCCATCCCATGGATGTGGTATGAGGCGACGAAGCCATGCGATTGATCTTTTGTTCCAGGATATGTGGGATGGGTGTCGCATGCATAATTGATAGAGTGGATGGACGAAGTCCATTTCGCACCACTCAAGAAACCATGGTTGAAACCATTGCTTGCTGGGTGATTAAAGCGATATTCATTGATCTGCTGACTAAAAAAACAATCCAGCCGATCGAACACTAGGGGCACTGCCGACTTTGGGTTTCGCCTGGCGCCGCGCCTGGCGCCGCTTCTCCGCCACCAGCTCCGCCGCCGCGCAGTCCCGGCGCATGGCTTCCAGCGCCTCACGGAGACGAGCGGCTTGCGCGGCCGCGTGCGAGGCGCTGGGGTTGAGTCTGAGGATAAAGCCCCCCAATATGGTTCTAACATGATATTTTTCGCTAGACCCCCAACATGGGTTAGCATTTATAATATATGTGTATATGGACTTTTGGAGGTTCTATATAATACTTTGGGGTTCTAATATGATGTGTGTCTTTTTGTTGGTAGACCCCCAAAATGGGTTAGCATGTTTAATAGGTCTTTACATCAACTCCTGGGGGCTCTATAGACTTTTGGGGTTCTAACTTGATGTGTGTATTGTTTGTTGCAACACCCAAAATGGTGGGCCGTTTAGATTTCCTTTAAACCAATATGATTGTGAAGGCTTATATGGGCCTTGCTATTGTCTGTGGATTCAAAACCAACACCTCGCACTAAATAAGCTCAGGTGATATCCCCAATAGCATGCGGTGCTAAAATGGCCAAAAGCGCTTTTGTGCGCTGCTACTGTGACTTCATCGGTCCCTGTTAAAGGCATCCCAATCTGCTTCGTGTACATTGTGAGACATTGTTCTAAAGACATGAAAGAAGGAGACTCGTCACGCGCACTTTGGAGTCGAGGCTGATGTAACGGTTGTTGGTTTTTCATTGCCAGAACATAGTGAGACAACTACACACACACACTTTCATTTGCAGTGTCCTGTCCTGTCAAGTGCGTGAACCAAGCCACTGCTGTTTCAATCACCACGGAAAACTCACACGGCCCACATACTGCATACGTGGAATATCTTCGAGCAAAGCGGTGCGTGTTTTGTTTTGCCCCAGCAGTTGCAACATGTGAGCATGCTATGCTGCAACACTCAGTGCGAAATGCGTCTTCCCTGCCGGCCGGCCTGCCTGCCTGCCTGTGTTTGCTCTTTCACTATATAATGGGTACGGGAGCTCATTGCAGCTTGGAAGACAGAAGCTCGGTTCAGCATGCTCAGATCTCTCGAATAGGTTACACCTGGCATTGGGGTCCGATCGGAATGTGTAGCCCGACTCTTACAACCATCTAGAATGACAAAGCTGTTGTTTCCTTGTGTATATCGTTTCTGAACGATACGCCCTCTCAAGTCCCACAAGACACCTGGAAAATGACTGCCCTACGCGTAGGGTCAAAGTAGATGGCAGAATTCCAACCCGTTTTGGTTTGGTCATCCCTTGATATCCCTTGCCAACAAGGGAATTGTGCCATCTCCTTTCACCTTGGAAGACAACACATTCTCGCGTCCAACCTGCTCTCACGTACTTCACGTTTCGTTTTTCGTATGGCTCAACTTTGCCAGTGCCGAAGGGCCGGCAAACCATAAGCGGCGCCCAAGGCGTGCTGTGCCAGTGCCCTGCACTCGAGGCTCAAATTCCCAGCTTGAGTGTGATGTTTGGTGAATGCGCAACCAAACTCCAGTGCTGCAAAAACCTTTGAAGGAGCTTCCAAGCCCACAGAAGTCGGGCCACTCCGATCGGAGCAAAGGCGGCTTGTTGATGTACAGAGCACAGCTGGTTACTGAACAAAATCGAAAGGGAACAACATGAGACGCGGTGAAACCCTTGTTCCCCAAGAGCACGTGGGGATCTTTAATTTAAAAAGCCCCCTTCTTTTCGTGGAACATGTTAGAGAGTTCCCTCATGCGCCTATCAAATTGACCATGGAATGTTACCATGTGCTCACAGGACTCCTGGTAGCTCCTTAGCTCCCTGTTTCAACATAAATTTGGATATACAACAGTTTCTTGTTAAAATGCTTGAATGGAGCCTGATCGAGCTTCTCAAACGAGTGACAACGCCTGAGAAAACGCCTACAATATGTGTACAAATATATATATATATATATGTATATATACATATATATATATATATATATGTATAAATACACACGCTCACTTGCCCAAAGGATCTGGAAATAAAAGGTCAACCTTTGGGGACCTTTACTACAAATCGACCAACATGGCAAAACCAAAAGGTCAAAAGGTCAAAAGGTCGGCTTTGCAAATATCATCATGTAAAACCACTGGTCCAACCCCAAGCTCCTTGGCTTCCTTCCAACCACCAGCTCAGGAAACCCGATATCTTGACACCTCAATAGAGATCTGCAGCGGATCGAGGCTCCACGCTGACGCTGGCGGAAGCGACGCCATGCCGTCCATGGTTCGATGTCCGCTTCGTGCGTTTTTTTTTTTTTTTTTCTCCGTTTTTTCCCGCCCCGCAAGGTAGGTGTTTTGGGGCCTCACTTTCTTTTGGCCAGGCTCCTACAGCCTTGGGATGCCACATGTTCCGCGATTCGGCACACGCAAAAAGCGGCACTTCCAACAACCTTAAGGCTTCGAGCGGCAAGAAGGTTCCGGTCACGGCTCACCTGCTGGTTCCTTGGTCCACCAATTCGTGGACACGTTGGTTTGTTGATATTCAGGCTTTGAGCTTCAATGACAATGCAGCACCAGCCAATTGCTCAATCCACACATGGCGTGGTCCATGTGGCCAGTTTCAAGAACGTACGCCGATGTTCGGCGTGGCCGCCCTGGTTTGAGCCACATGACCAAGCATGTTCTTACCCATTTTGGGTCTGAGGCAGATCATCCATGTGGGTGTTTCTCAGAATAGGGTCCCAACAAATGGTTGAGTTCCTTGTGTTTTTCTCCTTTGACCGAGCAAGAGAAGGTCCACCATTCTGAGAAACTCCCTTTTGTGCGTCAACTTGGACATAGGGTGAGGCGGCAATGCTGTCACAAGTACATCAAGGGTTTTAGCAGCCCATGCTGATCCATGTGAAGGAACACCTTTTCAAGGCCATACGCTAAAACAAGCCAACGAACAGGACCCACTTCCGAGGTCTGGCAGGAAAGTGATGACACACAAACTATTTTGAGTGGCGCTTGCTTCGCTCTCAGTGAAACTTGGCGATGCTTTGCATGCGCCCGCTCATTGCAAGCTACGACTACGTGGCCGGAAAGATAGCTAAATCAGTGCTTGCTGCTTGCGAGTTGAAATCTGAATGGAAATCTGCTCGTGTCGCATGCTGATATCTCGACGCACAACCAGTGTGGCACCCTCTTGATGTGCAACAACATCTTGCCTGTTCACAGCTCGCTCGCGCGCGCGCGCGCACACACACACACACACGCACAAGACCACACACACATTAAATAATTAAAAAAAAAAAAAAAAAAAAAAAAAAACACACCCACACGCACGCCAATGCTTTAAACACTCCAGACTTCCGCGCGTGTATCCCTTTCATTTGATGTACTTGATGGGGGCTGAGGGGGAGGGGAGTGGGAGGGAGCCCAAGTAAGCCCTCATTAAGACCCTAATAAGGGGTCTTATTTAGTGCTTCCCTCGAACCACCGGGCATGGTACCCTCGAACTGGTGAGAGTTGGTGTCGAGGTTGGGGCCTGCTTCCCAATTACCCACAAGAACCAGGGGTCCAAATCCAAGTCCAAACCAATCCGAACCAACTGAGGGTTACCTGATACATGTTCTTCCAAACACATCAGCTCCCACGCCACTCAAAGCGTTCTATGTGGTTGCAGGCTTCAAAGTCACTGGTAGGCTCAAGGGAAACATTAGTTATTGATGACCCCCAGAAACTGTCAAAATTACCCCAACATGTGGGTGCCAAATACGTCAGGACAAATCGAAAACTTACACATCCCCTGTTGGTTTTCCTTTGGGCAATCAAACACTACGATATATTTAATGCCTCGCGTCAACATAATGACCCAGTGGAAACCAGTAACTCAACACTGGGGCGATTCTTTCCCGGCCCATGCATGGCGGCCTGGTCAGCCGATAGGGTCAGAGCGCTGCGTCAGCTGCCTAGCGAAAAGTTCTGGCGTGCAAAGCAACAAAGGCTTGTTCTCAACATAGGGTACCCCAAAAAAGGTTTTGATTCCCATCCGGTTCTTCTTTAAACCAGCACCAACAAGGGTACCCTCCAAAAAGGAAACAGGCTGGTAGAAAACCTGGTACTTTTGGAGCTTTTCTTGCTGTTTGCTGTTTTTGGGCTATGATATGTCGAGTTGCAGTTGTGAGCGGGGGAGGGGGGTGGGGGGGGGGAGAGGAGGATGTTACCGTCGTTACACGAACACACATGCCAGTGCACACAGGCTGATGCATGGCCAAGGTTGGTTGCAGATGCTGGCAAAAAAAGCGTCTGGAGAGCCACCAATGTCCATCCCTGCAAACATGAGCTTGCTAGAAGAGTTTCTGTGACGAGAGCACGCAAACGACCCGGGCTCAATGTATGGATAGAGGGTGGCAACCATTGCGAGTCTATATATCAACCCAGCTTCACTCTAATGTGTTTCGCTACACGCACAGCTTGCTTGGAGGCATCGGCTTCCGATTGAGAAGGATTTCAGCTGTGATCGTTGGCTGCAGCTTGTTGGTTCACATTTTCGAGCAATTGAACTAGCCTGTGACCTCCAAAAAGGGGCACACCCATACAAAGCTTTGAACGTTTATCGACCACAGGTAACATTGATGGGTGGGCGGGCAGGAGGCGGGTCGGTAGGTGAGTGTGTTGGTGTGTTGGTGTGTTGGTGTGTTGGTGTGTTGGTGTGTTGGTGTGTTGGTGTGTTGGTGTGTTGGTGTCTCATGCAATGTGCCGAGTAATGCCTGAAGCACAGGTCTGAGTGATATCAGAAAGCAGCCGGATGGATGGACAAATCCAGCACCACCTGATGATTCTCCTGCCAAAACCAACAAACCATGGTTTCTCATGATTTCAGAGTCCTACGAAATGGATTTCGTCAATCCACTGTATCTCAATAAACAAACTGACAATGTACATGCAAGGTCGATACAATAGACACCCCTGCCTGGATCTTGAAGCTGCTTCTGCACCTGGCAAGCTGCAAATCGCGCACTTCGGTAACTTGGACCGTGCCGTTCGTACAGCGAGTGCGTCTCCAAGCAGTGAAAAAATATGATGGCCTCACAAACAGGGTCCTCCAAGGCAGACGTAAACCCAGCGGTAATAACTCATAGCAGCATGAACTTGGAAGTGACACGTATGTATGCAGCCACAAAACATGCCGACCCCTTCTAACCTTGCCAAATCAAAGACTGCCCAAAAGCGGCTGAGGCAATGGGTGTGAACCTGTGGTTTAGCCTGGCATACCTGGCTTGCCTGAAAGAGACTTAGAACATTTGCCAATGTCAGCAACGCATTCGGCCCTAGAGCCCGCGATTGAAAATTCTTGCGAAGCGCTGAAAGGAGGAAGCCACTACCTGATTCTTTGTGCGGGTTGCAGCCATTAATGTTGACAGTGTATTAGTAATCCCCCCCCTATTAATCCGGTCCGGGTGGACCCCCCCAATACTAAACAATTCATATCTCAGAAAAACCCCCCTCAATAAAAAATAATCCAAAACAACCCCCCCCAATTAGACCGGTCCCTGCCCCAGATGGCCGCTGCTATCTCATTTTCTCCAGATCTCAATTCCAGATCTCAAAAGGAAGCCCCAGCAATACTAAATCAAATGGAAACTCAATTCCAGATCTCGAAAGGAAGCCCCAGCAATACTAAATCAATTGAAACTCAATTCCAGATTATTTAGGGGTCATGGCAAAAAACCTTCCAAAATCTTGCCCCCCCAAAACCTTCCAACCTTCAAGGGGGGGGGGGGGGGGGGTTACAGACTAATACGGGGTCAACATTAACGAGTTTAGTTCTACTGCCTCAGGAATTTCTGCTTGAACAGTAGAATGGCGTCTCCACCGCCCATCCCCCCCTCCCCCCTGGCACGCACCAAGCCAAAAACAACGTGGACCGAGGGCTCTCAATTGCAGCCCGCGCTGCCCAGCCTCTTTGCGCTTCCGACGCTCGTCTAGGATCTGCGCATGCACATGCCTCAAGCGTCGCGGCAGGAAAGGAGCCTCACGAGCTCAGCCCAGAAAGCCCGCTGCCCTCCACTTCCGTTGCAAGAATCGTCCAGCTTGGGCCACTGTTGCTTCGGTTCCTCCGGCATGTGTGTGTGTGTGTGTGTGTGTTTTAGTCCACGCAAACAAAACACAACGTGTGAGGTCAAAGCGAGTGCTTCTGAATACGAGCTTCTTGCTCTTGGAAGTCATGATGCTGCCATGCGTCTACCACGCAAGGAGCACATCGCCCAATGCAGAGAAGGAAATCGATGACATGCGTAGTGATTATCAATGTTTAAGAGTGCTTCCACGTCTGAAATAACACCATGCAGCACCACCCGAGTTTTTCAGTTGCAAGCTCAACTGCTTCAACAACATTATATTATGGAGTAACCAACATGCGTAAGACGGTGCCATTTGAATTGCATGCCTCGTGGCTGCGGCACAATGCCAGCGGTGCTGCCCGCATTGATGGTTGACTAAAAATATATGACATGATATGCTTCAGGTCAACATGCTTGATTCAAGCCTTCAAGCTGGACCCTCCAAAGGGTCAAAGATGTTCTCCACCCGCCAAAACCACTACCTGGGTTTTGATGGGAAATGCAACCGCCTAGAGCCAGTGTAGGGGTATATCCCATTTGTGTGGAGGTAGTGGTGTAGCGGCAATCATCATAGAAATGCAACGACTGGTCTTGAACTCGCGGGGACAACGGCTTTTGCCACTGAATTATGCCTGTCTCAGGTAGTTCCCCATGCTTTCGGCCCGAAGCAGTATGATGTCTCCTTTTGCGGGGACCCCCAAAAATGGCGGCTGAACAAAAGAGCCCGGCGGTATGCATACACATGTTGATCGTTTAAAGGCATGTCACATGCATCTGGTGCACAATTTGGGTGTGTGTCTCAATAGGGGTACCCCCCCCCAAAAAAAAAAAAAACCAACATGGAAGCAATCTGTTTGGTTTGCCTTTCAAACAACCAACACAAAGGTTCGAGACCGACACACAAATATATGTGCATATATATATATACACAATACATACCTGGAAACCCATGTGGCCTTTTTGTCATACGCCTTTGACCACAAAGGTGGATACGGTTGTCTACGTGCTTGTCAACAAGATGTTGAAACAATACGGAGTTCATACGGGTGGATACGCAAAGTGACAAGGAACAAAATGGTCAGGTTTGACCGAACAAAAAACAACTATGCGGGGTGCCAGGTATATATATATATATGCATATAGAAAGGGAAATCAACAGGACAACCCACCATTTTAAGAGTCTAACCCACTTGACACAAACGCACATGGGTTTGTCTCACGGATGGTTGTCCTTTTCCCTGTGAAGCAACCCTAAAAAGGGCACCCTCAAAGATAGCGTGCCATGGAGAGCGACCGAGACATCTCCCTAGTTCCAGTGGGCTTCCGGTTCCCATGTCCGCGAGCAAAAGCCCCAAAGGACCCCTTGCGAGAAGATGTGCGGCTTACTTGCGAAGAGAAGCAGAGAGGATGCCTCTAAAAACACCAAAAGGGGCGGTTCAGTTCGGGGTCATTCGTCATTCCCTGCCTACAGAACCAGCAAGCTCTACAAAGAGGTGCCAAACATGTACCATTTACACACGAGAACCCAATATCATCCCCAACAAAAACTCCTATCCAAACCACGAATTAAGGCTACGGGTGTGAGGGTCGCGGGTGAGGGTTTGAGGGCTGGCTGGGATTTAGGGGTGGGTTAGGATTTAGGCTACGGATAAATGTCAACACCAATCCACCAGTCAAGGTGAATGTCCCCAAAACACCAATCCAAACCCCCAGCTGAGGCTAAGATAGGCTAAGGGTTAACTCAGAAAACTCCCCAAAACACCCATTCAAAGCACCAGTTCAGGCTAAGGGTTAACTAAGAAAACCGCCTTCTGCCGAATTGACATTTCGAAAGCCCGGCTCTGCCAGGCTTCCCGTCCCGACCAGATCCAGCAGCTCTTCTCGGCCCAGCTTCTCGCAGGCGCTCTGCCAGGCCTCCGAAGCCGCCCAACAACTCCGTCCGAAACGACTGGAAAAAAAAAGGAAAAAGTGAACATAGGTGTCTTTTTTTGGAGGCAAACCAACCAAAAAAGACACCTATGCGGGTGACAGTTGCTGTAAATTGACCGGCACACTTCACTTCCTCCCCTCAAGGGCATTTTCAGGGATGGGTTTTGGAGGTTATGTAGTTCCCCCTTGTTCAAGTGTTTTTTGTTCCTGGCTTCCCTGCTTATTGGTTAAAGTTGCTGTAGCCATCGGCAACATGTGAATGAATCCCCAAGACTTATTGAGCCAAACCGCACAAGCCTGAAAACATGCGCGCTAATGATGAGCTAAGTCTGCTTGGTTGCGGTAACGACCCCTCTGCAAAATGTGCTTCACTTGTTCTGGGTATACGGAACCCCCCCCTGTTTCAAGCAAAGAGGTAAAGTCAAAAGATTCCAAATTGCCGTAAAGACATGAGAAAGACACACATGGGCAAGAGCCAATTAAGTTGGGGCTCCAAGATCATGGTTTCAAACAGATTGGGGGACACCTGTTTTCAGCGCCACCGGAAAGGGGGGGGTGCTAGTGCTTCCTCGGGCATTTTCCGGCCTCGCTGGCCTGCAGGCGCTCCATGGCGCCTCGATCGCTCGTGGTTGAAGGCGTGGAATTTTGCTGATCTCAGTCGATTTTTTGACCCCTGCAGGACATTTCAAAGAGTACGAACAACAATAGAGGCGGAAGAACAGGTGAAATCCACAACAAAGCGCATCCAAAGCGTTTTCCAGAGTGTTGGAGGTGTGGATGGAGGCACGAAATGAGTTACCAGGGTTGAAAGAAACCAGAAGGGTTCTTGGTATTGGCGTTGGGGAATCGAATCAGAAACCGTTGGGTTCCTGAACGGTGCAGGATTTTGCGCATTCACGGTATAGTATCCATCCAAAACCTACCTGCAAATGCCCTCAAGGAAGCTCCAACGGTCACGGGAGTGCCCGTGTTTCGGCGTCCGCTCTTTTCAGAAAGACGAGGGAAGGTTCAGAGAATAGGGGTACGGTACCCCTTCGGCATTCTAGGCTTTACTGGATGGTTCCCTAGGTAACGTGCCTGTGGATGGATCCGCGAAGCCGGCACAGCTGCAGTCAAAACTATGAAGGTTTCCCAACAGGACATGGGAAATTTAGTAAGTACCTGTTTTGTTTTGGGGGCGGGGGAGTTAAGTGTCCCCCCTATAAATTGTGGCTTGGATCAGCCCAAGACATTGCCCGCAAAACTTTCCTGGACACATCGCTGTGCTGCATCTGAGCGTTGGACGCTCACCGCTGGAGCCGCTTCGGGAACTACAGCTCGGCGTGGCCAAGGCACGCTGCCAAATGGCAGACCTGAATCTTTGGTTTTATCGGTCTGCTCGGGCCACCTGTCTGTAAAGGGGGCTCAGGGAAAAACACACACACACTTCTCCCATGTTGGTTGCCTTTTAAAAAGTATGGGCTATGTCGAAACCACGTTTTGAACCTTGCAGCCAGGGCTCCCGTTTGTCCTTACACTTGAAATGGCCCCCAAAAACATAAGACTCATAACCGCCAAAGGGGAAATTTGGAAACTCTGCGAGTGCGCCATCAAGGCATGGTTGAAACCGCTGTACCTCTTTTGGCTTCCCTGCTGAATCGGGGGACTCACCAGTCGAACAAATCCTTGAGACCATGGGCCAACCACCAGATACTTCTTTGAACCATCCCTATTTAATGGGACCCCTCCAAAATGGCTCAACGGCTTTCCTTTTTGGTTGTCCTTCAAAAACGCAAGAAATGGTACCCTGGTACCCTCAAAAAAAGGCACGCCCATTCTTGAACCCATCTTGAGATCTGTGAAAACCCGTGGGCATGCCGGGTCCGAGGTCTGCACAGCGAGGTGGAGGGTGTCCGTGGAAGTCCTCGAACCATGGCTGAAATGGGTGTCAAGCACACGCACAATGATCGCTTTCGTTGTTGGCGGCCCTTTAAACCAACCCAACAAAAAGGCTACTGAGCATCGAAACACACACGCAACATGAATGAAATGACGGCGACTAGAAGAACCCACATAGATGAGGCGCACAGCTTGTGCTCTCTCTGTCTTTGCTTGGCTAGCTGTGGGCTGAAAGCTCACAAACGCCGTGGACAGGCCGAAAGATGCGTCTTCGACGGCGATTTTCAGGCTGGCCGCTGCTGAGCCGCACAAGCGCCATCGTCATTTGAATGTGTGGGAAAACAGGGCGCCAAGAAAAACCGTTCGAGGGGAAACAAATACCCAGCAGGGCCAACAGTGTGCCATGCAAAGCTCGAACAAAATCAGTAGTCAAAACATAACCTCCCTTCCTGAGTGGACTGGCCAAAAAAGTACGCAAACTGTTTGTTTACCACTAAAATGGTCCAGCCCAAAAAGTGACTGAAGTCCATCATGACAAGTCGAGCTCACGTTGTACAAATCTTCTCGTCAACGACTCGGGTTTTCCAGCAATGGGGCCCGCCAAGCCTCTTTCACTCGCCCTGCTGCTACCTCAGAGTTGGGTTGAGAAGACGGCAGCCGGCAAGAAAGCACATGTGTGTTGAATCTGTCGTTTTTTTAGGGCTCCCCTTGTCTGTGGTTGTCAAGGGAAACCAAAAGGAAAGCCGCATGTCATGTTTCTTTCTGGTTTTGCTTTGTGCTTTTTTTTGGGGGAAGGGCCCGAAAAAGGACACCCCCACCTTCGGAATGCACACTCATGGTGGGTGAGACACATGCAAATCAACACACACACATTGCACACTTGCGAGCTGTCCTTGACCGCCAAACGCTGGCTATTGCAGAACGAAGCAAGCATGTGCAACAATGTTGGTATTGACGTATCTACCATGGATCTGCTTGAAACAATCGATCCACAAGTAAAGGACATACCAGTACATCTCGGGGAGCTAGTTTGACCCACAGGGGAGCTCGCCACAAAATCGGCAAAGAGCCAATCCAGCACATCACATCATGACCTGTTCTTTGTTCCATTCCTAGCCCGGAAAACGATATCTGCGAGCAAATTTCGGACAACCACGCTCCCATCCAAAATGGGAGATACGTGCTCCATGCTTTGCGCTTAAGAACTGTCCTTTTACCGGCCCCGGATCTGACTAGAACAATGGTGGGCTAAGTGCAGGTGTTTCAAGTGCAGGATTAACTCGCAAATGGGACACCGCCCGTGTTAGCTTCAAATCAACTCGGAGGCCCCGTCCCAATTCAGGGGTGGTTCCCCTACTTTGCGCGGCTCCCGATTGATCCGAAGTCAGCAATACTAATCAACCACCAGCACCCTCCAACGGCTAACCCATGAATTAACTGGCCTTCCTTCACCTATTCCGAGGCCATTTGACAGCTTGCGGCTCCCATTCCGTTCTGCCTTGATTCCTGTTCCGGGGTCGCGGCTGGCGCCGCTGGCACATCTGCTCAGCACCTTGGAGCCAGCTGACATTGGCTGTGTTCTGACTTCAAAAAGGCTCTCTTCTTGGAGGAGCCTGCCGCCCTGCTGACTTGTTGATGCCAAAGCGAAAGCGGAGGTCTTATCCTTCTTGCCCGTAGTGCCAATCCGCCGCGCGATTGCGATTCGAAGGGCCTCGTCCCTTCCAGTAGTTTGTGGACGCCAGTCTCGCCTTTCCCTTTGCCTTCACCCCTCGTCCCTTCAACAACATGCCAGTCATCATGGCTCACTGCAACAGGCAGGGGGCAAGAGACCTGAGGCTCTCCGGCAAAATAATTAGCGGCATACTCCTTGATCTCTGTTTCTTGCTTCTTCGGTGTGGCATGGTACCACATATGGTCCCCGCAAAAGTGTCGAAAGTCGTGGTGGGGTGTGGGGAAAATGAGAAACCACTGCGGAGCGGCACACGCACCCACCATGTTGTTAAAACCGTAGTACAAACACACGTAGTTGCCCATCGCCTCGCTTGAACATGAGAAACTAGCCAACCTTTGCATTCTGAGCTACTTCACACCAACAGCATCGTAGTTTGGAATTTGCTGAGCTTGCTGGCTGTGCTAGGAGCAATCCCCAAAAACGTCTGAAAAGAGCACGGTGAAACTTCTGCGGACTTGAACGCAGGCTAAATCCACCAGCGGATTATTATGTCTGACCACGATGTGGATCCCAAACAAGCCGCCCGGCAACCAAGTCAAAGCGAACTGTCATGCGCTCAGGTTCTGGGATGCCCGCTTGCTCAGGCTGTGCTGACCTTGGCACAGCAAAGTACGGTGCGTTTCTGTGCATGTACCATCACACTCACCATGGTGTCTGCTCTGCCACAATTCGCGTTGTCTCATCTCTCAGCCAAACCTCCACACTATCTCAATAGCGCGCGTTGGGAGAAATTCGCTGGAACATGCACTTTTCGAGAGCCACTCAAAGGGGTGCCTGTTGCTAAGTGCAACCCTGGCATCGCTAACGTACGCCATCTATCCTTACGTTGCCGCTCCCCTTTCGCACTTGACTTTCATTTGCTTAAGTCCACTGGAAAAAAAGTCCAGTAGTGATACATTTAAAGGGAAACCAGCAGGGGAAAATATAAACAAGTTCTTTCGCAAACGGACGTTGGCGGTGCCATATTGTGGCAGTACACTTCTTGGATTTGTGTTTAGCGAATCGAGGCATGCAAAACACTCTGAGCAGGCCTGAGCCGGCCCGTAATCGCCGCATCTGCCTAAGGTGCAATGGCTGGACTTCGTTTTTGCAACCCACAACCCTAGTTTTCGACACGTCTTTACCTGGCCATGGGTCAAAATCCAAATCGTACCCCCAGTGAACATCCCAGTCCCCACTAAAATAAAGCCTAAAATGGGTGGTTCACTCACCTACACCAAACTGGTACCATTGGTTTTGACCCACAGCCACCTCTTGAAGAACAGGTCGGGGTCAAAACAAAGCGGGGTCTCTCAGGTGGAATCGGCAACATTGAGACAGGCATTAGAACTCTGTGTGTCCAAAGCTCAATGGAGTTGAGTTTACTGCGCTGGGCTCGGCCCCAACTTTGGCCATCGCATGATCAACCCGGTTCTGGCCGTACCGCAACTCAAACATCAACAGACTACTGGGGGTGAGAGGCAGGTTGGGGATGGCACTATTCCCCAATAACTACATAAATAAGTCAATGAATAAATTAAGAATTCAGTAACTAAATAACATAGAATCAAATAAACTATATATATATATATATGTTTCAACAAACATAGAACATCTGAACAGCTGACAGTCCTTGCCGCTCCAGCCTTGCTTTCGCCCAGCTTCACCCAAGGCTTTGCATTGCTCCTGACGCTCCGATTCGAGCGGGGGGTCCACTTCGGGCACGAGAAAATGGCATTCTCAAAATGAAAAACGCGCCCAGCGATCTCCACATATGGCTGTGGGTCAAAACCCAGGAACCCCCTGGTGAACATCAAAATAGGTGGCAAATGGATGTCATCCAAAATGGAGCCATAGGTTCTGCCCCGTGGCAATATACAACAATTGCAAAACCTGAGATGAGGGATCCACAAGTAAAGGACCTACATGTCTCACCCCCGTGAGCTCGCCACGTCATACCGATGTTTCCGGCGGGCATGGCTCTGCCAAGAAAAAACAAAACAGCTAACACATTCATGCCCTGAACCGTACTCTGAGCAAACCAATGTGGGTGCAGTTGCGAGCTGGGACCCGTTCCAGCAACATGTTTGGATGAACGCAGCATTGGCAACAACATGGTATACAATTCAGAAATCAAATGGCGAAGACTTGATTCTCGTCAAAGCACAATGTTGCTGTAATGGACATTGTTCTGGTGCTAGGACAGCAAGCAGAATGCCGCAGAAAGCCGTGACCGTGTTTGAAGGGCATGGTGCTATTTTAGCAGTACCTCAAGACCTGCAACAAAGGGCCTCTTGTTGAAAGGATTCCGACTCCTTCAAACGGGTCTGTGTCTTTTTAGCCTTTTTGGTTTCCCCTTTAGAATCACACAAAGGCGGTAGCTGAAAAATAGGCACGGCCAAATTGCTGCGACCTCCAATAACTTGTGTACCCAGTTTCAGAGCTCAACAGAAACCCAGGGACCAAAACCGAAGCACCAAAACCAATACCCGAGTAAAGCCAGTGACTAGCCCCGGACATGGGCCGCGGATACATGCCCTGCCAAGCGTTGTACTTGTGGGTTAAATGGACACCCCCCCGTGCTAACAAACCAACTACTAGTAAAAACAACTAAAAACCCAGAACGATGAATGGCAACCCAACCACCAAACCAACCAAAAACAACCAAAGCGAAACCAAGGAACCGCACGGCTGGTTGAACCACCCCCGCCAAAAGCATACCTTGTCGTGTACACATAACCCACGGATGTCCATGTTGCACCCTTTGGTTTCCTGGATTCCGATGACCAAACAGGACATGGTTGATGAAATCATCCCTCAACCGTGAGTTAAAAACACTTGGTTGCTGTTGACCCCAGTGCAAAAAGTTTAACTTTTTGGGGGTTTTGTGGAAAACCCCTGGATTCCCAAAAAGTTAAAGTCTACAGATCCAACCCAATAGCAGTCAAGAACAGGGCTTCAGAAAACCTCGTCGTGACTCCTGTGGTACTCTTCCAGCCGATGGAGGTGGCGCTGCTGCTGGCGATGCTCCCACTCCAAACCACCTGGGCCAGATGGCACAGCCGGTTTCCTTTGGCTCACTGGGCCCCTGAACGGTTTCTGGACATTTGACAGCTGATTTCAGGGCTGTGGTTGAAATGGAATCCACGAAGCTGTGATACAAAAAGGGCCTCCCAAAGACTACCCCCCCCATATAAACAGGGGACTCCCCTTGTATCAGAGAAGCGGGGAAAACCCCTTGATCCTACGACACTGGTGATCACCTTCTGGGACCTTACGAAACATGGTGGCCAACAAGAGGTAAACCGATTTCGGTCAGATCTGGTCAATTCGCTTGCAACTGGAAGGCTTCCCCTTTCTTCCTGTCTTCACACGATGGGATACTCCAAGAACATCCAAAAAAGACACCAACCGGTGATGTTCAAACGGTAACCCTGAAAAATGGATCCCTGGTACCTTGCGGTTCTTTGAGCTTCTCAATGGGCTGGCCCCCAAAAAAATCACACACAAAAACAAAAACACATGCCTGGTGTCAGCTGGTTTCCCTGAAGGCACAACAAGCACGTCAACCAACCAACGCCTTGCTGTTTGCTCATACATACTTGCAAACAAACAACAAAACATACAATTACGCCAATTCATGAACCCAAATGGTGCATTTGCGTCCATTCATTCAACCCACATGAGCATTGACGGCATTTTGTGCAAACATTGGAACCTTCTGCATGGTGCTTGCAGGATAGTCAGGCAGGCCATTACCAGCCAACCTGTGAACATCGGTAGTGAATGAATCTGGTTGTGGTTTTGTCAGCGCTGCTCCGAAAACGGTTTGTTTTGCAGAAGTCCAAGAAGGATGCCGCCCTTGGGTTCCAACCCCTTTGAGACACACAAAAAACCCTGAGTGCGACGCACTGGTGCTGCTTGTTCCAATCCACATCGATGATCTTGTGCCGCATGGCACCTTTCCGGCAATGACATTTGTCAAGTGAGTCATAATCAAAACCCGGTACACAAAAGACTAACTCAGAACCATGTCAAGAATTAAGAAGGCGGATATCCGCAGTTATTTATGGCTGGGAGCATCCCGTTTGTAAATTTGGTTGCCTTCTGACGCTCAAAGCGACTTTTGGGGTGGGGTTTCCCTTGGCACCAGTATTTTTTCCCTGGTCAAGGGTCAGGGTCTTTTAGCTCTTTGAACCACATTAGGTAATATTTGCAGATGTCACAATGGACTCAATGTGTGGGGGCGACAAGTCAATGCGCTGTGGATTGCACAAGCAGGCTCAACGAAGGCAAACTAGGCAAAGAGAAGCTCTAAGAAAGCTTAGGTAAGGCAACGGTCCTTCCTTTTCGCGGCCGATGACCAAACATCTACCAGGACCCTTTGTACACGCTCATGGTAGTATTTTTTTTTGTGTGGGGGTGGCCTTTCTGGGTTCCATGCTTCATGTTTTCCAAGGGAGTGACAATTGAATTTCACACACACACACACACAAGTCAGCTTGATGGCACCTTGAACCGCAGCTCGGCAGCTACCTCCACATCTTGAGCCGGACAGCTGGCAGATGCTCGAATTCTTGACCAGACTTAGACTGCAAAAAGCTAACTTGCTGGCTGAAAGGGAAAATGATGGAAACCAAAACTTGAAAAGTAAAGATAGGCTACATCTGGCAATACTTTGCCACACGCTCGCTCCCCTTGAGGATACACTGATGACCCAGAATCTCCAAATCCAACTCAACGAAATGAGGGGTCGCCACCATGAATCCTCTGCAAAAAGAGAATCCGACCTGTTTCAACCACAAAGTTAAAGTCCAAAGATCCAACCAACTAGCCGTAAAGCATCTTGCGGCGCGTTACATTAAAGCCATTGTCACTGCAATTCATGCTCATCAGCAGACGCTGCCATGGGTCACTCATGTTAATGTTGCATATGTGTGTATATATATATACTCACTTGCCAAGTTGATTGGCCAAAAAAAGTCTGAACTTTTTATTTACCACTAAAATGGTCTTCCCAAAAAGTTTAAAGTTCATGAACTCAGGAAGTAAGTATATGTATATACATATGAGTAACAACTCCCTCACTCTTGCTATGCTTGTAGGTCCACAACATGCATATGGCAAGGCGATGCGAATTTGAGGCATTGGAAGCGCGGCATGATGCTTTCTTGCGCTTAGCGACAGGACCAGTTTGCTGCACTTTGGGAACGGAACCTGGCCATCGAGAAGCATTGGCTTTCCTCCTCCACCCCTCTTCAATTTTTGGGGTACGGAATATGTTTGACGAAGCTTTATTGTACTTGGTACCCTATGGTATTTACAGAGGTTTGGAAGCAAAACACTATTGGGAACCGACACTTTCATGTTGGGTTCCAAGTACGCTCCGCTCCGCCCGCGCGGCAGACTCTTTTCGTCTCCCGCTCCGTTCTTGAACTCCGGGGGCTCCGACTTGGACTGCGAGTCCTGAGTCAAGGCTGGGCCTTAAGGCACCTGGTCTTACACTGGCAAGTGGGAAGTTCTTCTTGAAAGGTAGGTCACACCAAAGGGCAAAGGTTCCTAAGATCTGATGGCCATTTGGATGTTCTGGGTGCTGGAGCTGGGTGCAAACCATGCTTCAAAGACTCCTGGTTGAAATGCGATGCGTGCTTGCAGATTCTACCGCGTCAAGGATTCCGGCTATATGTCTCATATTCGGGTTCCTGTTATCATTGCCACATTTTGCTAAAATGCCAGATGAGCAACGATTGACACATGTTGGTGCGCCAAAGCGGCGCTATTCTGTGTACATGACTTTGGTCAAGTGTTTTGTTGATTAAGGTTGACATGAACTTACCCTCTAGACATAGCCAAAGTGATGTGACACACTGGCACCTGCAGGCCGTCTTTTGCTTGAAGTCACACGGATAGCTGCCTCCAGCTCTCAGCAAACCGTCTAGAAAGGTAATCAGCGAACGGAGTCAGTGAAGTCTTCTGAAGTTTCATGCTATCTTCAGGGCGGTCTGACATCACCTCCACAAGCAGCATCTCTTCTCACACGGAACATTTGTTCCCGTGTCATTAAACAGGGATCCTTACATTATACACCTGAACATTGCCTTGTAAATGGTGTTGTTTTCTCTTATTTTTTGCGGAAAAAGCCATGTTTCAAATTGGCAAAAGGTATCTTTAAGGAGCCCTGTTAAACGGATTGCTCAACGCACAATTGCCGAAAGGTTGGCCTGGGCTGCAAGAAGCCCAAGTCAAGGTGCTCGTTGACAGCCCCCCCCTCACACCGGCGATAGCTTGCGGGCCCCCGCCTAGGATGGGAGGGGCTTCCGCCTGGAAAGCATGCAGAATGGAGGTCTGGGAAATGGGCAAGATCCAAGCAGTGAGTGATAAGACTTTCAAGCAGCTGATACCTTAGAAATGGATAATTCTTGGTATCAGCTGCGAGAAAGTTCTGGCACAGGCACAGCCTTAGAAATAGATAAGCTGATACCTTGTGCTTTCTCAAAAAAACAGATGTGGGGGCTTAGCAATGGCTGTCTTTGATCATACCAAATGTGTGTGTGTGTGTGTATTTGCACAGTGTTGCAACTACCACCGGGGGCCTTAGGTTATCTGGGCCGGCCGAGCCGTTTGAAGCGAACACACGGCTTTCAACGATGGCAGGCTAAGGGACTGGACTAGTCCTTGCACGGGCCTCGCATGCTCAGAGCACTTCGCGCCGCCTCCTTTGCCTCTGCCCTTGCCGCCCTTGCCAGCTGCCTGGGCTGTGGGATTGCATGGGTCTCAAGCCCAAGGAGAGTCGAAACCCGTCGGAAAGCGCACGGATTCCTTCTGCGCGTTGATTTAGAAAGGCTGGATGACATGGGTGTGAATTCTAACGAAAAACCTTTGGTGGACATCATTTAGGTCGGGATTTATGTCCACCACATTCATGGCCATATACGGTGTGCCCAAACTTGTTCCCTGCGCCAACATGGGAATGGCCACTGACCAACTCTGCTGGTTCTGTCATAAAATCAACCGGGATTTCGGGAATGAACCTGTGGATCCACTTCAAGAAAGCCAGGGGATGCTTCAGCTATGGGTCCCGGTCCGACAAATGTTCCCTGCCTAACCACGCCAAGTTGCCGGTCCGTTTCTTCCGGCTGCCTGCAAATGCATCGCTTGCTCCGAGCCCGGATGAGCAAAAGGTCCATCACCTTAGGTTTACTCTCGGGTTCAACCCCCATTGAAAGAATGATTGACCGAATTTGGATGATGAACATCCTTAGGTAAATAATGGCGGTTCTATTCGCCCCCCTTGTTTTAATGGTGGTTTGAACCCCAGTAAAAGCCGTTTGTGAAACCAAAAGGTCCTGACGGGGCGAGTTGGCCACTGTGCGGACCGCTGGATATCGCTTGTTCCATTGTCACATCGGCCCTGAGCCTTCCAGGAAAGGTAGTGGGATCCTTGAATTTCTAGCAAGAACACATTCGACGTCGAGCTATATTTTTTTCCCCAGCCTGCCCATCAGCCCTCGTCCATAAGAAACAACATTCTGCATGGAAGCGCTCCTGCCTGCGTTAGCAGCAGTCTCTGGATGCTTCCCTGCGCACGTCAGTCGCGACTCCAGGATTCCATTTGGGTTTGTCTTTAAGGAGAACCTGCAAACAAGTGGTTTCCTTTTGGCTTCCCTCTAAAACTTCAATCTGACGAGCCACCCATTTGTTGCGTTTGTTGATTGTCCCAAGGATTTTGAGTCCGAGCTCCCCTGAGTAACCCAAACAGCATCAAAAAACAATGCCACCCCTGAATAGCCAATTATGGCATGGCAAAATGATGGAAAAGGAACATATCCAACCAACAAGTTTCACAAATCTCAAACCAAACAAAAGGATCATAGCCAAAATGGCCAGGATCATAGCCAACATGGCCAGGATCATAGCCAAAAGTCTCCAACCAAACATGCTCTGGCCCTTTGATCCCGTGAACCGCTCCCTCGGCAAAAATTATGGATACGCCCAGTTCCTTGGCTCCCTTCCGTTGCGGGAAGCTTCCGTTTCCATTCTGAACCCAGGGATCCAAATCTGTTCAGGACACCATCTAAAAAAAAAAAAACGGGGGAACAGCGATCGGTCGTTGAAAAGGACCATGATTGAAAAGGAAAAGGAATCATCCTTCTCTTCAGGAAATGATGAGAAACCGAAAGGGGAAACAGCGATCTTTTTTGGAAAGAACGATGGTTGAAATCAAACATAGATGTCCTTTTAGGGGAAATAGATGGGTTTCCCTGGTAGATGATTAAACCACCAGGTAAACCAGGGCCATCTATTTTTCGAGCAAGCCAACCAAAAAGGACACTTATGGAATCAAAATCCCCCAACTCCCAGCCATGTAACGCCCGCCTGGGGCTTCTCGTCGCCTGGAAAAAAGACAACAAAGCGATCCGGAGTCCATAGATGGCCCCCATTTTGGAGGTAGGTTCACCACCCATTTAGTATATTTTACTGTGGTTCAAAACCAGTGGGATCCCATTTTTGGTTGGTAGGTGAATTCACCACCCATTTTAGTCGAGATTTTAGTGGTTGGATTGGGATGTTCACTGGGGGTACGACTTGGATTTTGACCCATGGCCCAAATGGGTGGTTTCGATTGGAGGGGACCAGAATGGTAGGGCTTCCTTTTGGGTTCCCTTTCGAACCACCAAACAGATGGGCGCCCTCAAAAAGAAGAAGACATTCCCAAGTGCTTCTCAACACCAAGATGGGTAGGTACCATGACCAAACTTTGGGTTCTCCGAACCAATACTTGGACTCTGGTTACCTTCAGAGCTCCGCCTGCCATTGGCCAATGGCCAAGCGAGACAAAATTGAAACACCGGCGTTTGCACTGGTCATTTAGTTCTAGGTCCTCCAGCAGAGAGGTTGGAATAAGTTGGTACCCGATTTGTTTTCCTTCTGCAGTCTGTTTTAGTAGGGGAACCCTCCCAACCAAAAAAGGGGTGAGAAAGGGCACTACTGGGCGACCTAGAGTTGCTTCGTTGCTGTAACGCCCCCTCTGCAAAAAGTAATTTCATCCCTCAAACTACCGACCCAAACCGCGAAAAACCCTTAACTCATGCAACATGATGAGCTAGCCTGCTTGACTCTGCAAAACGTTTCTCACTTGTTCCGGGTCCAATTCGGAGAATCTGCTTCCTGTTTCCACCAAAATGTTACAGTCCAAAGATCCGTTACCACATAGTCGAAGTATTTTCCATTTTGGGTGAAGACATGCCATCTAAATCACTGCAACAATGAAACAACTCGCCAATATGCTAGTCAAAGAAACTCGCAGTGTAGCTAGCTGGCACCACCTATAATCCAGTATTGGTGGGTAGCATCTCTGACCCTCAAAGCAATGCTGCAGAGATCACCATGAATCACACCTATGCGAGTTTGCCGCCTACGTACGCTACAGAACGCCGATGCGGATGACTTACTCCACGATTTAGAAAAACAAGTCACTGGACACTTAGCAACTTGGTAGCATTTTCTATTCTGGAAGATTTGTCCAGTAGCACATCTGTATCTCTCACATTTATCTCCAGCAATCTTGAAATCAGGAGGACAGCTAACTCTTTGGCATTTACCTTTTACACTATCAAAGTTCTCAGGGAAAGTAAGGAAGAGCCAGGCTCCTCCCTTATCCCATCCCGAGTTGGTACCCCCTGTTGGCTGGTTTAGGGAAACCAATGGGAAGACAGTTTCACAAGCTTGGGGTCCCAAAGAACCACAAAAAACTTTGTGTCGCTGACTGGCCCCGGGCTGGACTTTAGCAACGCTACAAACTATTGACGGACGGGTGTGGGTGAAAAACAGGTTCCCATGGGTTGCCCTGGTAAATGGAGACAAAGACTAAATCCTGCGATCCCCTGGTGGTTTAATTTCAATTGCCCTGGATCCTTTTTTTCTCCGACGATTTGTGGAAGAGATATGGGGAAGGCACGCCTTAAGCGTCCAGAATCCACCGAAATAGGCAGACCCCCAAAAAGTCAGGATGGACGGCGGCTTTGAGCCTGACTTTGTTCAGTGACTTAGGCCGAATGCCGGCATTCATTGGCATCTTTAAACAACCAGCGTCTAGGAATCTCAGATTCCTGAAAGTCACACCAAGTCACGTCAGCTGTTCGGCTGGCAGCGATCAAATTTCAAACTTTAGCATCAAATAATTGCAATACGCTGCCAGTCTGGTCTTTCGCCGACTGTACATGTGGGTATTGAGAAACACCCATGTTGGCAAACCAAGCTCTTGCCATCGGCCACGAAAGGAACAACCAAAAGCGGTAGACTGCCCAAGCAGAACCACTCAAAATGAAAGTCGATCCATTTTTTTGCGGGGGTGTCCTTTTGAGCGCAAAAGGACCACCCACCCCTTTTCTGTGTTTTCGGAGTCGGTTGACCTTTAGGGCTTCAGGCCGAAAGGCAGCTCAGGTGACTCCCTGGAGCCTTCGAGGCTGTTTTACTCTGCCACCCTCCGTTGGGAGAAAAGGCTTCAGGCTAAGGGCTTGTGTATACGCCCACTGGGAAATGACCCCGTTTAGGCATATTTCCGGGATAGAATCAATGTTATTTTGGACCATATTGGGCCATTTCCCAAGGGTGCAATCCCAGGGTGTAATACAGCAACCCTTAGATTCAGGCTACCCTTGTGATAGCTTCGACATTCAAGAATCAGATGGTCAAATGGCCCACTGCTCCGCTGGGCATTCTATTTCGACGGCACTGCAAAGAGGACTGGCATGTGCCATTACTACGAAATCGCAGATGGCTAATATCCCAGCAAATTTGGCAAGCAGCCTGGTTGTGAGCCGTTCAGGGGCACCACGTATAGATAGATGATCACCTACCGCAATCCCTTCCAGGCAAGCCACTATAGTCCTTACCTCTAGGTTTTACATGATGGTTTCCCCTAGATACCTACTATGGCTTGCCTGGGAGCGCTGCGTAGGCTGTAAACATCTGTAAATCTATTTGGGGAACCAAAACCAAGAAGGTACAGAGTCAAGCACCAGGTTGTGGTGCTGGCAAAAGCGCGTATGCCGGCACCGCATTCAACCACTATATATACAAGAAACTCAAGAAACATGTTGTTCATCGGCGTGGATAATTCTAGCTGACTCTATTTCGCATGCAAATGCAAGTCTACTCAAGCGACTAGCGTTACATGGTTGCCGTGCTTGAATAACCTGTCACTGATAGAACTTGAGCCGTGCATAAACGGTACTCAAGGATCGGCGATGAATTGACAATGGCTGGGATACGCGCGATCCGTTCTATAAACCTCGCCTCGCAACGTAACGTCAGAGTGTCATTTGACACCCACAAAGACGACGGACACGAAGTCTCGGCAAACACAACCAATCGGACCGAATTCGGCCCAAAGCTGGCTGCCGGATATTCGCGCTCAGGTGAGGCTGTCGCACTTTTTGACGCTGTCGTGTTCTGTCGATTTGGGTTCGACGTCCAGCTGCTCCTTCTCGTTGTCCTCCACGATCTTCCGAACGCCGAACCTGAAAACACAAAAACGGCCCGCTTGTCTTGCCCTGGGGCGCCTAATTGCAATTATGCTAAGTGGTTTCGCTTAGCAACCCACTATAATGGCAAGTCGAAGTACTGGATTGTGCAGTCACGAAAAGCAATGTGCCCGTGTTCACTATGTTGACGGTGTTGAAACTAGCAATCGACTACGCAACTTGAGAAACAAGCATGAGTGCCGAACTGCACTTCCCAAAAGGCTGTCTTTGCCTGTTTCCGAGGCCCCAATAAAACTGTGGATGTTTCCATTGGTTTCCTTTCCAAACCACCCCAAAAAGGGGAAAACAAAAACAAGCCCAAACATGGCCTGCCATCTGCCAGCACATAATTGCAAGGAAATCCAACAGAACTCAGACCCAACTCAAGGCCTCTTAAGAAAAAAACAACTCAGACCCAACTTGAGGGCGCTTAAAAAGGATAAAAAAAGAAAAAAGGAAAAACCAAAGCGTCCCATCTCCGCGCCTTTCCATGCTGTCGTCCGAGGAGGGCTCGTCCGATTCCGAAGGCCTCGTACGGACCCAACTGATCCCAACCCCCCCTGAAAAGAAACTATTAATATGTCCAGTAGTGATATATGTCCAGTAGTAATAGATTCCCTTTAAAATTCAATAGGAACAAGATAACACCTTGATAGAAAAAAACAAAGAGAAAACAACACAATATGTCCAGTAGCGAAATCGATGCCCTTTGAAACCAAATGCAAAATATGCTTCAGCAAATGGAAGTGAAACAAATTGATTGGCGCAGCTATCAACACGGCAACTACCGACGGTCGTCGCCCCGCGCTGCAGCTCAGCGGCACATCTACCTGCCACACGCGGCTAAGTGTCGCTGCAGATCCAATACTAAATCAATTGAAACACAACAAATCTGTGAGCAATACTTAGCAATTCGTAACCAAGTTGGGATAACTATTTAGGAAAGTTTTTTTGGGGGGGGAGGGGGGAGGGTTTATTAATCAGAGTTAGATATTACCGCACGCAATTGTTCTTCAACAAGAGCCTTGCCAGGTTCATATATCAGCCAAGAAGCATAAGGGTGTCGACATCTGCATCTTCGTTTATCAATCACAAACCTGAAACAAGGGACGTCCAAGTAAACAACGTCATGGTGAACTCAGGTGAGCTCACAAAAATAGTCAGATCACTCCTTCAAGCCTCTCTTAGCAATGTGCGTCAGTCACTGAAATCCCAGCCCTATCAGCAGAGCCACACAAGAGCCGAAAACCGGCACTGAAGACAGTGGGTCCCACCGTGAAACTTCGCCCTACCGTTTGGTGACAATCTCATCCCGACGAAGAAATGTCCAAGGATTGCCTGGTTGCACCTTGGCACGATGGGAGCCTCACATTTCAAGCGTAAATATCCAAGAATTGCATGGTCAAGCGCGCAAGCAACCGCAATGCCGCATGTCGCTGCAATTCAACTCTGTCCCGATTGGCTGCAGCGTTTCTGCTTCTGTTTGACCTGTGCAAGTGCGTCACACCATGGTCAGCGCCATTCTGCGCCATGCGAACACAAGATCTGAGAACAGTGCCCAAACAATTGCAACAACACAAGAAGAGTGTTTGAACGCACTTCCATACAACTCCATCTCATTATATATATATATATATATATACCTATGTTATCACACACACAAAAACAGTATCCAAATTGCCAGTGGCTTGGACAGACAGACTGCAACTTAGACACCGTGGTTCTGAAAGAGTCAGCTGCAACCAAGCCGAAGCCGTGAGCAGCGGAACATTACGGGTCGATGTCAATGCAAACGGATGCCCCAGCCTGTGCGGAGAGTTGACGGCGTAGACCACCCAACATTCCACCTGAGCCACGCAACTTATTGCACATGGGGTTGCGTCTTCTTTGGCGAACCCCTGTTTAGGGTCTTCTTGAAGGAAACGGAACACTAAAGAACACCCCATCACTTTGGGGAGCCCAAATCAAATGCTTGGCATCCCGTCTCAAGCTCCAAACGAATATTATGGCATTTGCAGCCGATATCTTGTAAGCTCTCTGGTGCTTTCTCGACAAAGTCAAGCAAGGCTCCCAAGCGCATCCTTTGAACGTCCCAAGCCAATCTCGGATTGGTTTGGGGCACATGGGCAGCAATTCCAGGGGCACCTTCCCCATTCTTTCCAGGGATCCTTCTTTCTACAAAACCTCTGGGCACCCAGGGAAAACGGATCCGGTGTTTGGAAAGAACGGTGGTTGAAAAAAATGGAAAAGGAATCAACCCCTAGAGCAACGAACCCCTGACCAATCCGGGACGGGATTCTCAGTTCACTTTCCCGTGCCCGCGCCTGTGGAGTTGTGGCGGTTGATGCTCCTCAACTTCGAAATTTTCGCGCAAGCGCTCAACACGTATTTCGAGCGCACGCAGAGAAGCAAACGCATGCATCCGAATGCTTGATTGGCGTTGGAAGGGGAGCAACAATTTATTTTTTAGCAGTTAAGTGGGGATTTCCCACTAAACCACTGACAATAAGCAACAATGGCAAATGTTTCCCAACAACAACCATGAATGTCTGACTCCATATTCTGCTATGAACACTATGGGCTTAGTTTTCTTGGTGGTCCCGTAAACTTGGTGTTTGTCCTCTTGGCTTTCTGCTAAAGCAGCAAGGGTACAAGGCTACCCTCAAAAAAAGACAAGCCCACGAGAACTGTGAGAACTCTTAATCTGGGAAAATGGCACATGCTGGCTTCCACAGCCTCACACTGTTGTCTAGGGCAAGTGGCCTTGTTGCTAGGGAAGCTCCTTCCACAAAAAACGCTCCGCTGGGCAACTGGGCAACCGGGCAAAGGGAGCCCAAAGACAAAATTGGGTATGTGTCCACTCATGTTGGAATCCAAGCATATTTTCGTGGCTTCCTTTTATGGGTGTGGGTCAACATTCTGGTGTGGAACGTTCCGCGGTGACGCGGACATCTGGAACGAGTCAGTTACGCAAGGCGGGTTTTCCGGACCTCTGGGAAGACATGTGTGGAGTCCTCAAGCACACGTTCATTCAGTGTAAGACGGCTTCAGTTTGTTTTTGTTTTTGGGTTGCCTTTGTTCGCCAGGTTGGTATATAGATATAGAACCACACACTACTATCCAAATAAACATACATTGTTTGCGCATGTAGATATGGACATATAGATTGACGTCTGCATATGTTTTCAATGTATTTGCACATGCGTATACATGTATGCATTATACGTTCTACGTGTGCAGATACACGCAGCATACATGTTTACAGGGACCAACACACATGTCCAAGATCAATACCGGTATCTACGTATATTACTTGGCTTGCCCTTCCCTCTTATGCACCCTTTTGGCACCACAAAAGGATTTCTTGCAGGCCCACGACTGTCGGTTTCGCATGCCTGTTTGTGCCCTACGTTGCTGATGTTCAAGAGACTTTGAACCCATTTGAAACCACTGCGCTCGGGCAACGCCACCACGCCGGAAGAGCGCACATGATGCGCTTTTTTGCAATGAGAAGCTGGACCCATGGATGAGCAAAGGCATGCATATAGATCTTTTTTGCATCGGCACCTTGACGAAACACCGCAAAGAGTACATGTGGAAAGACTCAGAGCATGAGATTCATTTCGGGCTTGCCATTGCAGGCTTCTTTCGCATAAACATCGGTGGGAAATACTTTTGCGCACCTCTTGGCTGCATTCATAGCAAGCCGCCGGGACACGGTGGAACGCAGCTCGCCTTTGATGCAGGAAATTTCTTCAGAGCCGAATTGGGTTTTCGATGATGGACCATCGCTGCAGCCCTTGACAAAGATCCTGCAGCTTCACACTGTTGACAAAGAAGACTGCCCATTTGCCGCGGAAGTGCGGCGCATAACACTAGGCTTACGAACGCTGCTGCCGCGACGTTTTGCGATAGACGGATGGATGAATGGATGGATGGGTAGATGGATGGATGAAGCGACCAGGGGCGCGCGGCACGATACGGCACCTCCCCCGCCATCGT